TGCAACAGTGAGGTGCATGACAATATAGCTTTACACATCACAGTGACTGTATATCACTAGCTCTACGTAGGACGTGGAGGGCAAATATGCACTATGTAAGTAGTTTTTAACGTTTTGTGATATTTTCTCAGTTAAAGTTAAAATTTCCTGATGGATGTTTATCTAAATGTGTAGACTCGGCCAAAAGGAAACAGATGAAAAACATGTGAAAGGAGTGTGTAAGACAGGGCGATGTGACGGGTTCTAGACTGGCTACAAGGAACTCTGGGTAGGAGAGTGATTGGTTCTATACGACCGAGGCATATTTTTGTTGTAATCTAAGCGTTGATAAACACTGGCTTCTAATCTAATCAAGCTGGCAACTTCCACATACTTTCTCTTCAATTTGCCTCTATTGAAAAACAGGGACTGTCAGGTCGCCTAGTGGTTAAAGCGTTCGCTCGTCACGCCGAAGACCCGGGGTTCGATTCCCGACATGGGTACAATGTGTGAAGCCCATTTCTGGTGTCCCCTGCCGTGATATTGCTTGAATATTGCTAAAAGCAGCGTACAACTATACTCACTCACTCACTATTGCAAAACAAGACTGAAGCCTGTTTACTCTGCCCACGCTTGTGTTTTTGGCTTTACTGTGCAGAACTCTATTGTTTTGGTTTTGAGAATTAAATGGGGCATGTGACGTCACACTTGGAAAATTGTTTCACGCATGATTTGAAAACACACTGAACCGTAGACGTAATGACCCTTTAACTACATACATTCTGATTGGATAATTTCAAGCATTTGGCAAAAAGAAAATGAAGCCAGAAACTTGAAATACTGTGTTAAATATGTTTACAGTTAATTTACCACTTATACTGAATTAAAACAAGAATGCTTTGGTAATTTAAGGAATGCAGTAACAGCCTGACCATTGGGCATGCAACTTTTCAAAACTGACCGCCCGTCAGCAAAACAGGAGATCTCAGAATGTCGGAGAGGCGGGTATTTTAAACACTGCTAAAAACTGATAACTCCTGCATGCATCATTGCATATCTTTATTGCAAGATTTGCATCATTGACGAGTTTGGCAAAGAGGCAGAACCTTGTCAATGCATGCTCAATCAAATATGTAAGTTATCAGCAAAACAAGCGGACAAGAAATTCTGTTTGACAAATGCTGTTAAAGGGAAACAACACTCCAACCCTCAGTCGTCTAGCCGGCGCCATTTTAATTAACCTGTGTAATCACAAGATGTAAATAATTTAAATTAACGTAAGCGACCAAACAAACCGGGCTTCAGACCAGTGACGGGGCAGCTGGAGGAGCTCGTTTAGGGGAGTTCCCATTTGACTGCATCATGCTCACTATAACCTGTCACCTTGCAAATTCATCTGCGTTTGTAAATTTGTATGCATAATTATGAGTTTAGTATACAGCAAATACGTGTACGTATTATGTTTGCAACAATATAAGTTAGTTCATATACTCGAAAGAGCAACGACCCTATTTTCCTAGGCAAATTGCTTACAATACAACAATTAATACTCCCTTCTTGTCATCCATGTTTCATGGTATAACCCTACACCTGTGTATTTGTTGTCATTCACTTGATGATCAGTTAATGGCTTTATTACAGGTATAATTAGTGGTAGAAGCACTCAGAGTACCTAACAAAGACTATGCAAATTAACTTGATAATGTTCAACCCTGCCTCTGAGGGTGTCAAGGATATATAGCAATCAGTGGTTTGCAATTGGCATTTTTCATGTCTGGGGTAATTATTAATCTAGGATTGGGTTATAAATCCAGGTCTGATGTGGTGAATGTATAACATGTTATGTAATGTGCACGTGGCAGCGCAGCAAGAGAGGAATGGTTGGTTCAGTTGCCAAAAACATTGATTAAAGGATTAACCAATAACAGCGGTAGAAACTAACAGTTTCAGTCCACTAGTCCTTATAATGATAGCATATAGCAAAACCTTTAAAACTGTCAAAATTCTACTAGTCCTTAGGATACCTTTACTATTGGGCAGTTTGCCAAGGACTATAGGACTATTGCCAATTTCTAACCCTGAATAATATGTTGATTGATTAATCACTGTTATCTTGCACAGTGGATATGTCAAAATTTAGCGTTTATATATGTAGGTTTACTAAAGCAGACAGAATTCGACCATATCTGGTCATGGAGTGCCTATGTAAGACAATATACTTTGTTCAAAGGACTAGCCCGTAATATGTTGATTGATAGGTCATTGTTATGTAACTCACTGGATATTTTTTAAAGAACCGTCAACATTATAAACATAGTTGTCACGTGTGCTCTCTCAGCTGACCAATGAGACATAACACCTATGTGAAGTATCTGAAACAAACTTATGTGATCAGTTGGGAAACGAACACAGGTTATATCCTAGAAAGTTGAATATATATGTTAAAATATTGATTGTTACAAAGACACGTAACATTGAACCAGTTTCTATGAACAGCTTCAAATGTATGGGATATTGTTCCTTTATCATATCATTGGTAGGTTTCTCGGCAGGATAAAGCCAACAGATAAAAACGATATCCGTTGGGGTCATATGCGGAAAGAGATGCAAATATCAAAGGTCAAGTAGGGACTCCTTTCACTGTTTATAAACAAACATGGCGTCGCCCTCGTCATTCGGCGATCGAGTCAGAATTAACCATCAGGAATCTGGATAAACTACAGAGATAATTGCTTTCATTATCAAAAGAACAGTCTAATATACTGAAAATCAGTGTCTAACTGTGACGTAGCTAAGGCATTTTATAAGTTTTGCAACTTTGGAGATATAAATTTCGACACAATTTTGCGAGGGCATGAGGCCTAGCCAAGCGGGATCAGTAGCCATATCTGTGCTTGTAGACCTCTGCGGCTTGAACCTTTCTCCACAAATTAAAATAGTTGGATTTGGCCGAATTATGTTTGAATTGTTACCTTGTTTCGTTTTGTCGCTGTGTGTTCATCTGACTACACTTCTTAACGTTATGACAGGACAGACCGACTGTCAACAACGTCTGACCGTGGCCGTGATGTCTCATAGACTAGGGTTAGAGTAGCTTCCATTTGACAAAGTGCAGTTACTCTAGCAGACAGACCGATGGATTGCCGCGAAAGGTAATTAAAAACAATTGTTGTTTTGCGTATATGTTGCTTCGCCACTGTATAAGAAAGAGATTTCAGTTGGAACTATATTGGCTACTGTCACTGTCCGACTGACTCATCACTTACCCTGTGACGTAATAAATATTAATGCGCGCATTCCAGGAAAACTCGCAATGTTTCAGTAATGTTTTTGACATGTTTGAGAGAGGGAAAGCGATTTTGAAGCACAGAATTAAAGAATGATATTATATGATAAAGAAGTTATCACGCTTGTGTGTTTGGGAATGGTAAATATCCTGTATTAGGAATAAACACTATGTATTTAGCTCACCAAGGCTCGCTAAATACAATGTTTATTCCTAATGCAGGATATTTACAATCCCCAAACACATTCGCGTGATAACCTCTATTTATGTGAATATTGACAGATACATTCCTCAAACAAGTTAACTGCCTGATATTACACATATAACTTTTATGGTTGTCATTAAAATATCTGCATCTAGTTTTCATTTATTCACTGTTGCAAGAAAGCAGGAGGCATCAAATGTGACTGATCAACTTGTTCCAAATGTAACAAATATACGTAAATAGCAATCAGTTCCAAAGTGCTACGCTTATGGTTATTATTATTTTAAATATATATACATGTAGTAAAAGTTACAACTAAAATAACTCAATATTGGAATATATTATTTCTGATAACATAAGTACAAAAAGAATTCATCCAATCATTGCATCAAAATTCTTTAAAGTTATATTATTTATTTTTTTAACCAAATCATCGGTAGATTGGTAGGAAATGTGCACACAGCTGATTGCTATTTCCTGCTTAATTTAAGAGAAAATACACACAGTAATCTTATTTCTGCATGCCTAGCAGAACAGTAAATACAATTTAGATGGTTAATCATCATGTCTAATGATACCGTATCTCACATTTCATATTTTTATTGACCAAGTGTGTTATCACCTGTTTGTTTACCTGAATTCTCTGAAGGGATACTAGGTGGGTTTTTACTGTGCATAGTATGTGGTTTTGACCGATAGCTTCCCCCTTTCAAGCTACGTCTGCATTAATCAACAACATAAACACATGTCAGTTTGGCTGCAGTTGTATACCTTTGTGGTGATATAGGGCTCATCATTCTTCAATCCTCCGACAGGAGTCGCATCGCGCAGTGCAGCGAGAAGAGCACCGAACACAAGTCAAACCAGTCAAAATTATAGTCCGTCATAAGCAGTTATTGAATCAGCGAAGAAAAAACCTGATCCATATTTCAATTCTTTCAACTTGGAGTGTTGTTTCCCTTTAACGATATAGCCTATTTGCCACCTGTTTATTAATACCTTACACCCCTTACAGAGACAAGTGCATGAGACCAGAGGCCACTGAATGAATTATCACAGAGTTTATCGATGGATGATCACTTGGCCACTGACAAACCACGCATCTGACATTTGACAATCTGTCATCAGAATGTCATATACTTCATCAACATGATGTGACGAGATAAGGTCCCTATATGTCCACGATACAGAGATCTGTTGGTCATCAACCTGGCGTATCGTGCACCCGCCGGCATCGTGACCGGTGTATGTTATGACATCAACGTAAAGCGTCATGAAAATAAAACATATAAACAAACACAACGTCCACTGGTGGAAGACTTTTTAGAATTACATAACTTTTAAATTAAAAACTGCCCTGTGTTGAGTCATATCGCGGTAATCAATCATTATGTGAAATATGCACAGGCAGTGTCGAGGCTCTCAGCACGTTTGCTAACGCCGGCTGTCAGTGGTAACTTTCAGATGCCTCTTTCTAAATTAGGATTTAAGGGTCATCTTTCACACTTTTATACAAAAGATGATATTTACCTTGAGATACTGTATAAGATCACTGGACGAGACCTGTGTCACAGAACATATCTTTGAATATGTTGATGATCCGGAAGATGCTGAGATGGCGTGTAGTCACATGAACAAATCACGTGACACTGTTCTGTTTATAAATATATTTATTACAAGTAGATATGTAGTAGACTTGTCACTTTTATTTTTTTTGTTAATATTTATTGTTGTTTGACAGCAAGAGTTTTCTCAATATTCATATTCACATAAGACCAATTTCCTCGAACATTTTTATGTCTACGATTATCACCAATTTTCGTTTAACTTGTTGATTTCTGATTTTACACTCAACACCAAAACATAAGCTGGGCGCCGTCTCTTATATCACAAATAGTGACGCCGCGCATAGAGAGCGGGGAACCTTCTTAGCGACTAAGCTCAACACAGAGAGGTTTTGCCGACGGTATAAGGCTAAACGGCATTGCGTCAAAATTATCTGGAGAAAACGTCAAAATATAAGTTAGTAGCAATTTTCAACATAGACAACATTCGTACGCTTGATTGTCCCAGGGGAATGTTTGTTTTGTTGGTTGTTTACGCTGCACTCAGCAATATTCCAGCTAAATTACGACGGTCTGTAAATATTCGAGTCTGCACCAGACGATCCAGTGATTAATATCATGAGTATCGATCAAAGCAATAATTGGATATATGCGTACGATGACATGCATCAATTTAACCAAGTCTGATCACTCTACAAAATAAATAATCTAAACATTTTGAATATCCTAAATAGTTTTTGTTTTTTCTTTCATTTTTCCACATTTAATCGAACAGCTACGGAAAATTACTTTTCTCTCATTTGAACATATGTCCGACATGCAATGATGTGTTTGAATTCCTGTACAGCAAAAGATGTCAACTAGGCACTTCAATCGACTTATGTGTATACAAAGTTTCATATTTACCGTCGGATCATAGGTTTTCGGACGTAATACGTCTTCGGACGGCCATGTTTATCGCGATTACTCGCACAGGGGGTATAGCATTCACAGACATTGTAAATACTCAGATGATGGCTAGTTTTTTAAGGGATAGTTGTCAGTCATAGAGTCAATGAGATGTGTTTCAGTTATTCGTGTGACTAGAGAGAAAACTACGAATGTTTCTTAAGTGTCCGAAAACCCATAACACATTTGAACAAATGACCTTCCGCAATAAACACAAGCATCACGCTTATTCGAGGATTGATATGGAGTCCCGTATGTTACCATGATAATGCAAGGTTACGATCGGTATCAACATGGCGCCAAAACGCCGATAGAGAAATGGAGAGAGAAACAAATCATGTATCACACTTCACATTATTTACATAATATATCCACACTGTAAAACTTGATGTCCAACCTACAAGGCTACTGTACAGTTTAAAGCAATAAATGTGAATATTATTTCTTTAAATGAAATCACAGATGATGATACCACCAGACATGTTGTATTGTAGAAATATTGCGTACCGCTTTTCGGGAAAGATAGCCAAATCCACTTTTACTTCAATAGTCACTGAAGCGTACGTACAATACCTTCAGAAATTATACCCACAAGTCCCACGGTCCTAATATTATCGCATGTAGACGCCTCATGCGGCTAGAGTGAGTGAGTAAAATGTTACGCCGCTTTTTGCAAGCGATTCTATTCCTGCAATATCACGGCGGGGAATACCAGAAATGGGCTTCACACATTGTACCCATATCGGGATTCGAACCCGGTTCTTCGGCGAGACGAGCAAACGCTTTAACCACTATGCTACCCGACCGCCCCTTCAGACGGCTAGAATAAAGATACAGTGCAATTTTCGACAGGTTGAGGTGCCCTTTTCGCTGATCTCGTGCCGTGTTTGCTTAGAGCCCCGTGAAGATTCCGGGGTAGAATAGGTCTTCAGCAACCCATGCTTGCCGTAAAAGGTGACTATGCTTGTCGTAAAAGGCGACTAACGGGATCGGGTGGTCAGACCTGCAGACTTGGTTGATGCATGTCATCGATCCCAATTGCGTGGATCGATGCTGATGATGTCAATCACTGGATTGTCTGGTCCAGACTCGATTATTTATAGACCGCCGTCATATAACTGGAATATTGCTGAGTGCGGCGTTAAACAACAAACAAACCAACCAGCTTAGAGCCGTTTTCATATGGTGCTGTTTTAGCTCTGATCCTAGCTGTCTGCGCACGTAAGCTGGTTTCCGGCTCTCTATGCGCGTTGTCCACTTGTAATAAGAATAGACGGGACCCAGCTTACGCGAATACGGTGTTTGTAGCATGTGCTGTCGTAGAGCATACTCTTCATCCCCGCTCGAACGCACTTGGTTTGTAAAAGACATTTCTCTTTCTCTGGTATATTGGCCAAGGGATCTAGTGGCAGCGTATTGACGGTGTAGAGATATAAACAGTGAGTGACCATATATATGATACTATGAAGCGATGATTTCATTACAGCCAGCGAATTGTTTGTCTTCAACAGCGATAATGTTGGTAAAATACATGTCACCCAGTGCCATTCTAGAAGTCCTGAGGGAAGCCCCCTAGAAGAGGATACAATTTAAACATTATGTGCCAAATGTCTAATGTTGTTGAGGCAAGCCTTAAGAAGTTAACATGGTTAACTGGAAAATAAACATTATGAGGCTATGTTTAAGTTAAGGGAGAAATAAGTTATTTTATTCAGGAGATTTAAGATTTACCAGTGTTTTAAGGGAAATAACACTAAAGTTTGAAAGAATTAAAATATGCAATCATGTGCATTTACATACCCTGTACGTAAAAATATCCATGAGATCATATTATATGCATAGATCTCTTCAAAAGACAACACTCTCATAATATATAATTTGACAGTATTGTGGTCACTGGTCATTGTCGCATTTGATCAGATACTAGTACCTGGATAAGTGCAGTATATAAATGTATAATATATTAATGATTAACAAACCATGTCAAATAATTTATGTTGTTATTGTTTCACTGAATATAACAAATACTACATCAACTGCTGACTTGTTATTGTATTCGTGAATTAGTATTCAATTCTTTACCCTATATTCGTGATACGAACCGTATTCGCCTCATAGTGTATTCGTTGCAACCCTAGTATTTAGATGTAATGATAAACACTGGTATGAGGACTTTTTTAGTGTATTTGGATGTAATACTAAACACTGGTATGTGGACTTTTATAGTGTATTTGGATGTAATAATACATATATTCTATAGCATGGATATAAAGTAAGAAACACTACCACAGACTATAGTAAAGAATGTCCATATAAATCTTCTGCAGCCTTGAGAATTGTCTGTAAAGTGTTATCATTGCCTTTGAATGGCCAAGGAAAGGATTTAACTGTAGCATGTTTAGTGGCCCAAGTTTTGTGTGAACCATGAACACTCATTCTGTCTCTTAATGCAACAGGAGGGGCACTGCTATGGCAGACTATGACGACCTTGAGGACAATCTGTACCGAAGGCTTTCACAAGGAAGAGTTGCACGACGGGACGATTACGAGGACAGAGTGTCTGGTTATGGGTTCGACGATGGCTCTGGGAGAGGTGGCAGAAGAAGTCTGGAGAGGCAGCCAAGGGACTGGAGAGACGATGACTTGGACGACAGGTCACCGAACCTGAGAGACAGGTCATGGGACGCCAGGTCAAGGGACACGAGGTCAAGGGACGATAGGGATTGGGATGAAGGATTAGGAGACAGGAGAGAACCTGATTATGATCGGAGGTCTGGGGATAGAGATCGGGATCAGAGGTACATGAGGAGGAGTGATAGAGATTTTGATGACGGTTTTGGTGACCCAATAGATCAGGATCTGATGTCAGATGATCCTAGAGATTGGGGTGAGATGCACCATGACGAGATGTCCGTTGATGACTTGGACTGGAATATTCATCCTGTGAGAGAGGGAAGAGGACACTCTTTCATCCCTGGGGAGGACGATCTGGACACACAAGGGCGACGTGACAGGTTTGTGATATGTTTCCCAAGCATTACTCCAAGATAATGCGTTTTTACGACAATGTAGGGCCCCTTTACCCCAAGTTTGTCACACGGTAGGGTTTCTGTGGTAGAGTAGGCCACAGTAAACTATATATGTCACACAGTAGGGTTTCTGTGGTAGAGTAGGATCCAGTAAACTATGTATGTCACACGGTAGGGTTTCTGTGGTAGAGTAGGATCCAGTAAACTATATATGTCACACAGTAGGGTTTCTGTGGTAGCGTAGGATCCAGTAAACTATGTATGTCACACAGTAGGGTTTCTGTGGTAGAGTAGGGGCTCAGTATCCCATGTGTGTCACACAGTAGGGTTTCTGTGGTAGAGTAGGGGCCTAGTACCCCATTTTTGTCACACGGTAGGGTTTCTGTGGTAGAGTAGGATCCAGTAAACTATGTATGTCACACGGTAGGGTTTCTGTGGTAGAGTAGGGGCTCAGTATCCCATGTGTGTCACACAGTAGGGTTTCTGTGGTAGAGTAGGGGCTCGATCAGTACCCCATGTGTGTCACACGGTAGGGTTTCTGTGGTAGAGTAGGGGCTCGATCAGTACCCCATGTGTGTCACACGGTAGGGTTTCTGTGGTAGAGTAGGGGCTCAGTACCCCATGTTTGTCACACGGTAGGGTTTCTGTGGTAGAGTAGGGGCTCGATCAGTATCCCATGTGTGTCACACAGTAGGGTTTCTGTGGTAGAGTAGGGGCTCGATCAGTACCCCATGTGTGTCACACGGTAGGGTTTCTGTGGTAGAGTAGGGGCTCAATCAGTATCCCATGTGTGTCACACAGTAGGGTTTCTGTGGTAGAGTAGGGGCTCAATCAGTATCCCATGTGTGTCACACAGTAGGGTTTCTGTGGTAGAGTAGGGGCTCGATCAGTATCCCATGTGTGTCACACAGTAGGGTTTCTGTGGTAGAGTAGGGGCTCGATCAGTACCCCATGTGTGTCACACAGTAGGGTTTCTGTGGTAGAGTAGGGGCTTGATTTGTACCCCATGTGGGTCACACAGTAGGGTTTCTGTGGTAGAGTAGGGGCTCGATCAGTACCCCATGTGTGTCACACGGTAGGGTTTCTGTGGTAGAGTAGGGGCTCGATCAGTACCCCATGTGTGTCACACAGTAGGGTTTCTGTGGTAGAGTAGGGGCCCAGTACCCCATGTGTGTCACACAGTAGGGTTTCTGTGGTAGAGTAGGGGCTCGATCAGTACCCCATGTGTGTCACACGGTAGGGTTTCTGTGGTAGAGTAGGGGCTCGATCAGTACCCCATGTGTGTCACACAGTAGGGTTTCTGTGGTAGAGTAGGGGCCCAGTACCCCATGTGTGTCACACAGTAGGGTTTCTGTGGTAGAGTAGGGGCTCGATCAGTACCCCATGTGTGTCACACGGTAGGGTTTCTGTGGTAGAATAGGGGCCCAGTACCCCATGTGTGTCACACGGTAGGGTTTCTGTGGTAGAGTAGGGGCCCAGTACCCCATGTGTGTCACACAGTAGGGTTTCTGTGGTAGAATAGGGGCCCAGTACCCCATGTGTGTCACACAGTAGGGTTTCTGTGGTAGAATAGGGGCCCAGTACCCCATGTGTGTCACACAGTAGGGTTTCTGTGGTAGAGTAGGGGCCCAGTACCCCATGTGTGTCCCCCTCAAGGGATTCAAGGATAAAGGAGGTCCCCAGTACATAAAGTAGAAATTCAGGGTTATTTGCAGGTTACCTGATGTATCAGGAATATTGCTTGTGAGCAGCATTTACCCTCCCTCTCTCTCTCGGCATTAAGGAGCTAAAACAAGGACTGGTCGACTCGGAGTCAGTATACTGTGTCTGAGTGGGGTATTCATGTTAAACTGCGGCATGGTATCTCAGTGAGCTAGCACTATAAATCGGCATCAGCCACACACACACACACACACACACAGCCACACACACACACACACACACACACACACACACACACACACACACACACACACACACACACACACACACACACACACACACACACACACACACACACACATGCATACACGTCGCTATATAAGTGCAATAATCTTGGATCGACGTTAAACTCTATTTCACCTCACTCATTCAATCACTCACTCACTCATGTTTTACCAACAGATCTATGCGAGCAGGTAGACATCAAGGACATCAGGACCAACCATGGGCGCCTGAAGAAGAGCCTGTAGTGAGTGTCTTGTCATTCTTTGTCTTCAGAAGCTCACCTGAATCCTTGAAAGTTGTCACCTGGTGATACATTGTCAACAGTGTCTCAGGCAGGGGTCCGGAAACCGTCACATGCGCCGGACATGTCCGATTGGGAATCTCAAATGTCCGTTTTTTAAAATATTGCTTACCGGACATTTTAAAAAGTATTGTCCGGACATTCCTCAAATTTTGACCGGACATGATCAACAGTTAGGACTGAGCAGTTTCTGTCTGCAGTTGCAACACAATGAAGATTAACTACACTGACAAGCTTTGTTTGTTTTGATTGCTGTAAATACATCGTACCTACATGATAGTCCAATCGGTCAATCACTGTAATAGGCAATAAACTGAGTTGACACTGATTAATGGAGGATTAATTACTGAGAACATCTTGTTAATTTGAGTGAAAGGTGTTTACAACTGTACATTAAATACCTTGCATCATCGATGTACCTCATTATCCTCACAATGCTACGATACGTAACCTCAGACAAGAAGCGAAAGCGTGACGACAGCCAGTCGACCGATGCAGATCAGTCGAGCGGATCTGCCAAACCCTCAAAGTCTGGACGATCATTTTGTAAGTCGTGGCTAACGACTTTCACTTGGTTGACATACAATGAGGATTTGCAGATTTTATTGTTTTCAGTAGCTAGTCGTATATTGAATCTTGATTGACCGCCATTTTGCTTTCTGTGACGATCGATATCCAATTTTTTTTATGGTCAATAATTAAGTACAGATGAAAAAAGTATTCAAATAACTATTGCTATCAACGATATTTTAGTATTTGTGATTAAAATATCTGTCTTGTTTTTAAAAAAAAATCTTTAGTTTGAAAAAACCTTTTCCCGTGAGGTCACGTGATAACCAAATATGGGATAATAGTCTCGATCCAAATGTTACAACGCGTACACTTGAGCAGACTCATGAATATAACTCATGAATATTAATTAGACCGTTCACTACGTTAACAGATCGGTTTTTTTAACAGAAACAAACGTATGTTTTCCATGTAAATCTAAAATGATATTATTTGTTATTAATTGTCCAGTGAATTAAACAATTTAAATTGAAACAATTCATAATTCATAATATTATGAATACGTAAACTTGTAATGTGTGCGAAAAGTCGTACTAAAATACGCTATTTGAAGGGGGCGTGGCCTAAATGCAAATGTCCGATTGGGATTTTAAATTTTCCGGACCCCTGGTCTCAGGTCATATAGATGATCCCAGAAATTTCTGAAATCTGAAATATCTTCAATCCTATTTTAAGGCCTAAGAACATTGTTATGATTCTGGTTGAATTTAGTATCAATATAGGGCTGGGAAGGAAGGCGTTAGTGTGAATGATTATCATGAAAGGAAATATGCTACTGGCAGCACTTTTGTTAGGAATATTTCTTTTCATCTTTCCATTATAAACAAAAATGATTCTCATAATACGTAAGTGTATAGAATGACATTTGATATCATCATGATCACTACAATAATGTGCAAGGCATTCACTGATCTCGGATACGGAGATATTTCACAATATGTATGTAATCAGTTTTGAGGTCTCCCCAGATATAGTAATTAGGAAGTATATTTGGTGCTGAAGTTCGAGTTAATATTTACAATGAAACTGTTGAAAATATATTTTCAGCTTCCATTTGGCAGTACGATGGAGGAATGGAACGAGTTGAAGTCGGACGTCCCCACCAAGACAATCATGCTCAGTGGTCTCCCAAGAATAACAAGAGAGTCAGATGTAAATAGCTTGCCCTTTTGACAAATGACAGCAATGCATTGGTTCGATTCCTCATAATGGGTATGACATGAACCTTTTTTTGGTGTCGCCCACTGTGAAATAACAGCGTGTTGCTAAAAGTTGGGTAAGGAGCAGTTGGGTAGCCAAGTGGTTAAAGTGTTTGTTTGTCACGCCGAACACCCAGGTTTGTTTCCCATCATGAGTACAATGTGTGAAACCCATTTCCAATGTCACCTGCCATGATATGGCTTGAATATCACAGCTAAAACCATATTCACTCACTCACTAAAAGTTGTGTAAAACCATATTCACTCACTCACTCACTGTTATCTGATATGTAGCCGAGGCGGCATGAACATGATGAAGCACTGTTTGTATTAAGTAGTCTTCAAGCTGGGCCTGGATGTCAAGGGGTTCTTTTCTTACTCTGGACATTAAACGTGTTAGAGTGTCCTTTCAAGATGCTCCAGACCCTATTTGGGGGCATGGGTAACCCAGTCGTCTCATGTGCCAAACGTTTAACTGTGCGGAGTTGCATCCCTTGGGCATGCCAGGAACCTATAACTGTGGGTTTGAATCCCAGTTTGTGCCAATTATGTTTCTAGGTTTTACCATGGTGGTAGACATCTGAGACCTGCATAACTTTGGGCATTTCTCCCACATTAAGTTGATATGTATGTAATGGAATACTGTTAAAAGTGGTGTTAAACCCAACTCACTCACACACTCCCATGAAGATCCGGGGTAGAATAGGTCTTCAGCAACCCATGCTTGTCGTCAGATGCGACTAACAGGATTGGGTGGTCAGGCTTGCTGACATGGTTGAAGCATGTCATTGTATCCCAATTGGATAGATCGATGCTCATGATATTAATACTGGATTGTCTGGTCCAGACTTGATTATTTACAGGCCGCCGTCATAAAGCTGGAATATTGCGTGTGGCGTTTAACAACAAACAAACACACAAATCATAGCCTAACCCATACCAGAAGTGATATAATTAAACTGTATGTGCTTACCATGATGAAACTACCAGAAAAGTGTGCTGCATTGTAATGGTCATGATGTGTTGCAGGTGTACCTTGTGCTCCAAGGCTTCCATCATGAAATCAAGGATCTGCAGATAGAGACAAGTCAAACAGGTATACCGCTGATGCATGCTGGGACTCACTCGTGTTGAGCTCTCCTTGTCATAAACCCAAGTTCAGTCATGGCTTCTTGTCTGTCGTCTGTCACAACATCCCCTATACTGAAATTTGTCACATATTTCTGATCAATTTGATTTAAAAGTATATAAAAAAATACACCAAAGTCCGCATTTTGATGGCCCAAGTGTTTCTGTTGACTCCGAATGTTGCCTGGTACATGACTCTGAACACTAAGTTAACTGTGTAAATGTTCTTGAGCTGAGAAATGATAATGGTTATTCTAGCTGATGTTTCACAGCGTTAAACAATGGTATGTCATTTCAGACTAAGAATAAAATCATTTCATACTATGAATAAACTTGTTTTTAACTGCATAACACTAACACACAAACACACTCACAACACCCCCCAGTCCACCCTCTCTCGCACACACACACACAGACACCCCCCACTGACCACAACACCCCCCCTCCCCGTACACACACACTAACACACACACACACACACACACACAGAGTTACTCGCACATACAGATACATACACACACCACACACACACTAACACACACACACACACACTAACATAGATACATAGCAAACACGCGGACACACTACAATTTTGTTTTCTGTACTTTATTTTTGTCAGGCAATCATGATGGGGTTGCCTTCATCGACTTCTTTGAAGTAAAGCAGGCAGTTCAATGGATGGGGAAAATCCAGACGGAAGGACAGGTGAGACTAGTGGGCGTGTGTGTATGTGGCTGTGTGTGTGTGTGTGTGTGTGTGTGTGTGTGTGTGTGTGTGTGTGTGTGTGTGTGTGTGTGTGTGTGTGTCTCTGTGTGTGTGTGGCTCTGTGTGTGTGTGTGTATGGCTGTGTATGTATGGCTGTGTATGTGTGTGTGGCTGTGTATGTGTGTGTGTGTGTGTGGCTGTGTGTGTGTGTGTGTGTGTGTGTGTGGCTGCTTGTAGAAGTCCGGACATGTGCTGGCTTCATAGTGCTAGTCTACTGAGATACCATAGCACAGTTTAACACCCCTCTCAGACACAGCATACTGAGTCCGAACTGACCAGTTTCCTTCCCCTCATGCGCAGCACCAGGCAGGGTAACACCAAGTACAGTATTTTAACATCTTTTGTATGACATGGATGGGGATCAAACCAACAACCATCCACTCTTTGAGCAGGTGCTCTATCCACTAGACTGTGGTTGTGATTTTTCAGCATAGAAATACTAAATGTGGAAATTTATGCATAGGAGAAAACAATGCCTCCAAGGTTTGGGTTGAAAATATAAAATGTTTTCTCTGACTTATTGACCACCAAAGGAACAATTATTAATATTTGTTTAATATTATGTATAAAGTGTGTTACGACAGTCTAAAGAAATGTCATAAAGTACATCTGGCCAGGAAATGTATGCAAAACACGGTACCTTCTAATGAACCACTTATTTTCAACCAGTTCTGTGATGTAATGGTTAGAGTGCCTGACTAGTGAGGGGTTCGAGGGGTTGGATTCCCGTCATCCATAATAGCAAAGTTTCAATTCTTGTCTTCAAATTTAGAACATTGGACATTTAAAACACTCAGTTCAAATTTCATCGGCTACTCATCTCATCAGGGTAAAAGTAAAATCTGATACCAGGTCATTCTAGGAAAAAGTAAAACCTCTTACTCGGGATGAGGTCTCTCTAGGAAAAAGTAAGACCTCTTACTCGGGATGAGGTCTCTCTAGGAAAAAGTAAAACCTCTTACTCGGGATGAGGTCTCTCTAGGAAAAAATAAAACCTCATTCTCGGGAGAGGTCTCTCTAGGAAAAAGTAAAACCTCTTACTCAGGATGAGGTCTCTCAAGGAAAAAGTAAGACCTCTTACTCGGGATGAGGTCTCTCTAGGAAAAAGTAAAACCTGTTACTCGGGATGAGGTCTCTCTAGGAAAAAGTAAAACCTGGAGGTTATGATGAAAAAACAAGTACCGCCCAAAACCGCTAATATCCCTTTTAGGTTTGTAAGTGACATTAGTGGAGGAAGTCCAGTGAGGTGGGTGAGGACGACACCAGCAAGTGGTGTGGGGAGAGGGTGTTTTGCAATGTGTGGTTACGTGGCACAGGTTGTGCTAGTTTGCTGATGTTGATGCATCTTCTTCACAGGGATCAGTCGAGATCTTGAAGTGCGAGGTGAAGGCTGTGTACAGCTCACTAGTCCTCCAGTCCACGAAAACTGTAAGTTGATATGTAGAATGCCAGGAAGCAGCATAATCAGAGATAAAAGTATTAAAAAAACATTGAATTTTCATCTTCCAAAAGTACTGCTCAGTTGCATCTTGAATAAACCATGCTGTACGCACATTGATAGTTGGTTGTCATGCAGTGATATTGGATGGGCACTGGTTTCTTTTAAGCATGTGTTTTGGGTAGCTTTTTCCGTCACCTTTAATCTTGCACTTTTCATTGTGTTAAATAGTCGTCGTCCATTTTTCAAATTTCATGAAAGTATCCAATCAGTGTAAAATATTGCTCTTACTGCGAAGTCCTAACTTGAAATGAATGACGTTCTAACAAAGAGCAAATTCTGCGAGGGCAAGAAGTCGGCTAAGGACCCCCATCTACTTTGGCAGGACTGTCCGCCTCAGTGTCTTCCCTCACTTGGATGAGACGCTTGTACCTCCATCAGACAGAGACTTCATCGCCTATCTTCAAGTGATTGCTGAGAGGAAGCAGCAACATGCTCGTCGGAAGATGCCTGACCACTGCTCCGCCTCCCCATCGTCTTGACCGGTAGTCCATCCAAGTCAACAGGATCGTCCAGCCTTCATCTTGGGCCTTCATCAGAATTGGACTATGACTTCTCACTGTCAGCGGCACCTCCAAGGAAGGGTGCAGACCCCCAGAGGGCATGTCACATGGAGGGATGACAGCTTGAATCTATCACCCTACCACCAGATATCTTCGTCCAGAAGGAACTAGAGAATATGGATAAAGACATCGAGAATCTGGAGAACCACACTAATTCCTTTATACCTCCTAGGCAGTTCAAGAAGCAACAAGTGCATGGCCAAGTCTTCGTTGAGAAGATTACATTCCTGGACAAAGATTTGATATGTCGGATTTGACGGATTCCACCAGGGTGTGAAGTTTCAGGATCTCCGACTCTCAGATCTTGTAGTTGGATAGGGAGTTATACTAGACGCTCCCTCAACTATCGGTATGGATGTGTGGCTGTCGGAGCACCAGACAGTGATGCAGCAGCTGCAGGCTGTGTTCAGAGATACCAACCGTGGTGGCACGTGGTCCTGTGCATAGCGCACGGGTCACAAATCAGGCAACAAAGTTAAGCAACGCCAATCAAGAATCATTCTCAGCTCCCTGGGCAGTATACACCCTAAGTATTTTTAAACTTATCCTGAATGACCCAAGCGCACTCCCGTGACTGACGTCTTCCTCCCCACTGTACCCTCAGCCCTGACAGAAGCACTTGAAGACTCTGAGATCATGGAGTTCATGTTGGACAAGAAGTGTTACTGAAGATGCTTGTTAGATCGTCATTCATGTCCAGTTAGAGCTCCGCAGTAAGAACAGTGTTAAATTTTTTATGCAGGATAAGTATACAAGAAAAACCACAATACAGTGGTTATGTCATGTTTGACACCCTACATACCTAGGTGATGCTTAACTAATCATGGTAATGATGCTGGATATATACTCACCACCAAAAGAAACGTGAACCATAGAAACATGTAGAGAAGTATGTTCATTAAGAAGTGATGTTTCAAATGTGTACCACTTAATGACAAAACTAACAATCAGTCATGTGCTACCACAGAGTGTCTTTATTCGTATCATGATATGCAGCACATGATGTCCAAACTTTACACGCGAATCGTGTTAGAGACAACTGATGCATCATGGATGATCACACAACATACCAGTATGTTTGTTTCTGCATCAAACCAACTTAATGTCTCTTGAATATGAGTAATTCTTCATATATTGACCAACATGTATGGTATTCGCGTTTCTTTTGTTGGTGAGTATATATCAATTAATGTGTGAGGAAGCTTTGAGGTAATTGTCCTAACACAACTGGCACTTTCAGGTGTTCACCTGGAGGAAATGGGCCTCCACGGTGCCCACAGACACCCTCGTGGTTTGGAACATCCCACCCAATATTGGATTCAAAGCTGTAAGTTACACTTGTGGACAGATCTCTTCTTTTAGCCACTTATAATCCCAACCACGAAGGAGAAGGGGGATATAGGAATGGGTGCTGTTTCGGAGCAGAACTAAAAAACCATGAGAGATATCATAACTTAACAAAATCTTTACAAGAAATATTTCCATGGCAGCGACTTTGACTTAGAGGGAAATGGCAGTAGTGCTCCTTTCTGGAGCAGATCTTGAAATCCATACAATATTTCTTCACCAAACTTGGCACCTAGATAGGTTTAGTGTTAAGCTGGTGCTTTCAAGTTTCCATAGCAAAGACTTTGATTGCAACCTGGGTACTTCATAAACATCTTATATCTCCAATATAACACCCTTGATGTATATCTCCAATATAACATCTTTGATGTATATCTCCAATCAACACCCTTTATATGTATCTCCAATATAACATCTTTGATGTATATCTCCAATCAACACCCTTTATATGTATCTCCAATATAACCTCCTTGAAATATGTCTCCAATATAACCCCCTTGAAATATGTCTCCAATATAATACCCTTGAAGTATGTTTCCAATATAACACTCTTGATATGTATCTGCAATATAACACCCTTGAAGTATATCACCAATATGATACCCTTGAAGTATATCACCAATATGATACCCTTGAAGTATATCACCAATATGATACCCTTGAAGTATATCTCCAATATGATACCCTTGAAGTTTACCTCCAATATGTTCCCTTTGAAGTGTATCTCCAATATGATACCCTTGAAGTATATCTCTCATATGATACCCTTGAAGTATATCTCCAATATGATACCCTTGAAGTATATCTCTCATATGATACCCTTGAAGTATATCTCCAATATGATACCCTTGAAGTATATCTCCAATATGATACCCTCCATAGAACTTGAACTAATCAGCATTGATGACAGGAAACTTTGTCAAATAATTATTATTATTTTTCTTTTCAGATTCGTGATGAGATTACACTGTTGGGAGTTCGACCAATTAAAGTAATGGTAATGAAGTGTAATGATACTGGTAGGTTGCGGCTAGCCATGTCTTACAGGAATAGTGTGTGTTAAGTCAGAATCAGAGGGACTGTTGAAATTGTTGATGTATGTATGTATGTATGTCATTGCTTACTTAACAATCCATCTGTGGTCATTGCAATCACAAACATTGTTCACATAAATCTATTTTAAGCCAACATCAATCTCATTTAATACAGATCTTAGTTCTCACTACCACTAAGCAAAAGCTTTTTGATTGGCTAATGTTGACTTCTTGTTAGTTATGTCGTTGGTTGGTCAGAGTTTGCCTGACCAGTATTGATATTTATCATATAATGGGTAGGTTTCTCGGCAGGATAAAGCCAATGGATAAAAACGATATCCGTTGGGGTCATATGCGGATAGAGATGCAAATAGCAAAGGTCAAGTAGGGACTACTTTCACTGTTTATAAACAAACATGGCATCGCCCTTGTCATTCGGCGATCGAGTCAGAATTAACCATCGGGAATCTGGATAAACTGCAGAGATAATTGCTATCATTATCAAAAGAACAGTCTAATATACTGAAAATCAGTGTCTAACTGTGACGTAGCGAAGGCATTTTATAAGTTTTGGCAACTTTGGAGAAACAATTTTGCGAGGGCACGAGGCCTAGCCAAGCGGGATCAGTAGCAATATCTGTGCTTGTAGACCTCTGCGGCTTGAAACCTTTTCCACAAATTAAAATAGTTGGATTTGGCCGAAATATGTTTGAATTGTTACCTTGTTTCGTTTTGTCGCTGTGTGTACATCTGACTACACTGCTTAACGTTATGACAGGACAGACTGACTGTCAACAACGTCTGACTGTGGCCGTGACGTCTCGTAGAATAGGTTTAGAGTAGCTTCCCTTTGACAAAGGGCAGTTACTCTAGCGGACAGACCAATGGATGGCCGCGAAAGGCAATAAAAACCAATTGTTTTGCGTATATGTTGCTACACAACTGTATAAGAAATTATTTCAGTTGGAACTATATTGGCTACTGTCACTGTCCGGCCTACACATCACTTACCCTGTGACGTAATAAATATTAATGCGCGCATTCCAGGAAAACTCGCAATGTTTCGGTAATGTTTATGAGAGAGGGAAAGCGATTTTGAAGCACAGAATTAAAGAATGACATTATATGATAAAGAGGTTATCACGTTTGTGTGTTTTGGGATGGTAAATATCCTGTATTAGGAATTAACATTATGTATTTAGCTCGCCAAGGCTCGCTAAATACAATGTTTATTCCTAATGCAGGATATTTACCATCCCCAAACACACTCGCGTGATAACCTCTATGTCCTTTGTTTTACGGTACTGAGAACTAAGGCCAAAAAAATAAGTCTTGGTTCTCAGGCTCTGCCTGCATCATCACAAAGTCTGTCCCATGTTTCGTTTTAATTTCCAATTTCAAAAAGATGTAAAAATCCCCGTACTTAAAAACAATGCTATCCAGTATGGCACACAGTGACTTCCTGCTTTACTGCATAACTTGTGTTATGGCTGTGGCGGCAATATGAGTTTGTATTTTTGTTTATGCTTGCTTGTTTATTTGGTTACATACTAGTTTGAACAAGCAAAAAAAAACCAACAACACCCGCTCGCACTTTATTTTCAAATGTCATTGCCTAAGAACCAATTCTTTTATTTTTTAAGCCTAAGATCTGATTTTTTTAAGACTGCATTCAACATGTACAAGTTTTGGTTGTATACAGTTCTCAAAGAAGACTGAGGGGCGGTCGGGTAGCCCAGTGGTTAAAGCGTTCGTTCGTCACGCCGAAGACCCGGGTTCAATTCCCGACATGGGTACAATGTCTGAAGCCCATTTGTGGTGTCCCCCGCCGTGATATTGCTCGAATATTGCTAAAAGCGGCGTAAAACCATACTCACTCACTCAAAGAAGACTGTGATTCTGCAGAACCCCTGTTTGATTGTAGCAAATGAGGTGTAGCCAATAACACAATACATTATACTCAGAATTCATATTCACTTTTTATTTTGATTTGGAACCAGAGAGAATGCATCGATGTGCAGTACACATGTATTCAAAGTGATCACATTACACAGTTGCTGGTGTTGTGTGGAGCTCCTACTTGTCCTAGTCACACAGTTTGAAGGGCAGATTTGCCTGCTTTAGGTGCCAGGATACAGTGATAATGAGTTCAAATCCCAATGTATGTTCCCTGGTATGTCAGCATCATCCAAGCGCTTGTGGCTTCTGACATCCACTTTTCTACCACATTTAACTGACACCCCATGAGTGAGTGAGTGAATAAATGAGTGAGTGAGAAATCAGCTTTACACAATGAATTGAACCTGGGCGAGTGAGTTGACTGAGTGAACTTTTAGCAATATTGAAATCATGGCAGAGGGACATCAGAAATCAGCTTCACACATTGTAGCCATGTGGGGAATTGAACTCGGGCCTTCGACAAGCGAACGTTTGCCTTTACACCACTCACTCACTCTCTCTCTCAGTTGCTGGATCATTGCCAACAGTGCCTAATGAGGGTCCTTATTATTTCAGGTAAAAGCAGAGAATATGGCATTATTGGATTTCAAAGCGTTGCTGAAGCATATAAATTTATGGATATTACAAAGGTAACTTCTTTTAGTGGCATCCAGAAGTTGGTGTGATGAACAAGGACAAGTTTTTTTTATAAACAATCGAGATGGTGTTTCGGTGTAGATTCAAACACTGTTATGACTTGCTTAATGAGGGTGTTAGAGTCTACATCGAAATGACGATCTGACCATTGTCAATAATTGGATTTTGTTTGGAGGGTATGTTCCTAGTTTAAGGTTTTTGTATCATATTTAGACTGAGAGGGCTTAAGGCTTTTTGGTACAACAATCCTCGTATTCCTGATACAAGATAAAATATTAAATACTGGATATTGAATTATGATGACTGATGGATCTGAAAGGTGACATGTGTTAAATGACCACACATACAGAGTGTTCATCACAAGGGACCGTTTCCTCACTCACCCCCGTTCTTGAAGTAACAAACTGATGCCAGGCTATTGTGTGTTACATTCAGGGTGTGATTGAGCTGACAGAAAGAACAATGCTGGCCATGTACAGCTCTGGTGGTAAACAGGATAAAAACTTCACTGCTCCTGCACACAGCATCAAGACCGTCAACAAGGTACTGTGGGATACAGGGTCGCTGTCTGTGAGATGCTGTCTGTGCGTTACATCGGTCTGTGTGTTATGTCTGTCTGTGTGTTATTTCTGTCTGTGTGTTATGTCTGTCTGTGAGATGCTGTCTGTGTGTGTAAGAGAGATGCTGTTTGTGTGTGTGTGTCTGTGAGAGAGGTGCCGTCTGTGTGTGTGTGAGGGATGCTGTCTGTGTGTGTGTCTGTGAGAGAGGTGCCGTCTGTGTGTGTGTGAGGGATGCTGTCTGTGTGTGTGTCTGTGAGAGAGGTGCCGTCTGTGTGTGTGTGAGGGATGCTGTCTGTGTGTGTGTCTGTGAGAGAGATGCCGTCTGTGTGTGTGTGAGGGATGCTGTTTGTGTGTGTGTGTGTGAGAGAGATGCCGTCTGTGTGTGTGTGAGGGATGCTGTTTGTGTGTGTGTGTGTCTGTGAGAGAGATGCTGTTTGTGTGTGTGTCTGTGAGAGAGATGCCGTCTGTGTGTGTGTGAGGGATGCTGTCTGTGTGTGTGTGTGTGTGTCTGTGAGAGAGATGCTGTTTGTGTGTGTGTGTCTGTGAGAGAGATGCCGTCTGTGTGTGTGTGAGGGATGCTGTCTGTGTGTGTCTGTGAGAGAGATGCCGTCTGTGTGTGTGTGAGGGATGCTGTCTGTGTGTGTGTGTCTGTGAGAGAGATGCTGTCTGTGTGTGTGTGTGAGGGATGCTGTCTGTGTGTGTGTCTGTGAGAGAGATGCCGTCTGTGTGTGTGTGAGGGATGCTGTTTGTGTGTGTGTGTGTGTGTGTGTGAGAGAGATGCCGTCTGTGTGTGTGTGAGGGATGCTGTTTGTGTGTGTGTCTGTGAGAGAGATGCTGTCTGTGTGTGTGTCTGTGAGAGAGAGAGAGATGCTGTCTCTGTGTGTGTGAGAGGTGTCTGTGTGTGTGAGAGAGAGGGAGAGATGCCATCTGTTTGTCTGTATGTGTGTGTGTGAGATGCTGTGTGTGTGAGAGAGAGAGAGAGAGAGATGCTGTCTCTGTGTGTGTATTTGTGTGTGTGAGACAGAGGGATCATTAATCATCTAGCAGGATTAATCATCTAGCAGGACATTTTGTGATTAGATTTCTTTTTTTATTGAGGTAAATTATTCAAATTATTTGTATTTCAGAAAAGCACAGAGAACACACAGATGCCGGGAGGAATGGAAGGAGGTGGTGAAGGAAACGATGGGGAGGGGGATGAAGAAAAGGATGGGATTGACAGTGAAGGGGGTGGGAAGCTGAACACCAAGGGAACCACCTCCAAGACTCTGTATGTTGCCAATGTAAGTAGACATGGGGTTACAGTTCATGTCATATTTCTTGAAATGTCCAATGGAGGTGGGCTGTCTCCTTCACTCACACACTCAGTACAGTAAGTTCAGTCTGGAGCATTTTTATGTTTCCAACACACTTTTCATGAACCTTAGGAAAATGATGTAGTATATCTTTTGCAGGCAAACATATATGTGGAAAACGGATATTGTTAAACACATTGTCTTTCATCAGTTCTTCTGGAGCCTAATGGTTCATTCATCAGGCTACAAGTATGATGCTCATGATGTCAATCACTGGATTGTCTGATCCAAACATGGTTATTTACAGATTTCCATCATATAGCTGGAATATTGCTAAATGCAGTGTTATGCAGCAAACAAATTTGACTTGATTATCTACAAGTTGATTTGATGTGAAGATCGGGGTTAGAATTATGGATCTTCAGCAACCCACGCTTGTTGCAAGAGACGACTAAAAGGATTGGATGGTCAGAGTCGCTGACTTGGTTGTGATGCATGCCATCGTATCCCAGTTGTGTATATCGATTATCATGATGTCAATCACTGGATTGTTTGAGCCAGACTCTTTATTTATAGACCGCAGTCACGGCTGGAATATTGCTGAATGCAGCATTAAATATAAAACAAACATAATATAACTGGAATGTTTCTGAGTGCCGCATTAAACAGCAAACAAACATACATGGTATAGCTGGAATATTGCCGAGTGTGGCATTAAACAACAGACATGATATTGCTGGAATATTGTGGAATGCAGCGTTAAACAAGAAAAAAAAAAACATGATATAACTGGAATGTTTCTGAGTGCCGCATTAAACAGCAAACAACATGATATAGCTTGAGTCTGGCTTGACAACTCTCACTCACTCCACCTTTTCCCAGGTGCCCAGCGACGCCTCATGGAAGAACATTAAACTAGTGTTCCAGTTGGCTGGAGAGGTACTCAAGGTTCAAAAGAACGTGAACTCCAACTTTGCAATTGTGAGGTTCAAGACAACAGAAGAGGCTGTACAAGCCATTTGTATCCTTCATATCTGGGGAATTTTACGTCTACATCCAGCGGGTTGGGAAGTCTGTGGAGTCGCACCGTCTGTCCACCCAACATGAGACTGACATCCTGGTATTGTGTATATCTCCTCTTGTTCCAAGGCAATTATGAAAAGAAAAACTGTGATTCGGTGCAGTCAACAATTATTTCAAACTATGTGTGTAAGAAGTTGGAACTACAGAAAAAGGAATCGACCCAATGACTAAACACCAGCTTGCTTTATATTAATTGGAGTGGTCTGTCTGTCTGTCTGTGCATCAGAAGTGTGAGTGCAGCCTTATACTCCCAATTTACAACCCAATTAGACACAAATATATCAAGTGATGTAGTGCATGTCTGGGTAATGTTGAACAATGAGTACCTCGTCAGCTTCCTTATGTTTCTCAGCCATGTTTGATGGGCAAAAGTTGTTTGACTGCACGATGAAAGTCAGCTTTTACACTTCTAAAGAACGAGCCCCTGTTGTCAAGGCACTTCCAAGTAAGTCACAAAGAACAAGACAGATCAAGCTCACCAGAAAACCTGTTTGTGGCAATTCATCAGATATTTTTAAGATGTCAATAGCATTAAAGGGCATAAATTTGTCCAAGGCATTAAAAATTACATGTTTTTACTTAGCCTGCATTACATTATGCTATTGCTGCTTTCAGGTCGTAAGTAGCCATGGAAAATAGACTTAAGAATATTGTATTCTTAATATATAAGTAAAGTTGTTGAACCAGTAGTATCCCAATGACTGCTCTCTGGAGTTACCTCCCATGCCCCTCTGTGATCATTGTTGTTTCTTTCATGGTAGTGAGAAACACTTTGGTCACGGAGCTCAGAAATATTGTTATCTCTCCTGGCTTATAATGCGGGAGAATATAGTCGAGGCCTCGTCTCGTCCGTTCCTTTGTCTGTCCGTCCTTAATCATTTCCTCTCAGAGCGTAACCCGAAAAGTTTAATATTTTCCAAAAAATAATTGGTAGATATATCAAACAGTTTCTGAAGTTGTGCCTTTTGTAATTTACAGATTTTTGTCATTTTTATTTTTCTCGATTTCCATGGCAATAAGTTGGACTTCGGTTCTATGAGGGTGGTGTTCGTTTCTTGAGCGTAACTCAAAACCCTTTAAATACTTTCTTACAAAACTTTGCATGTCTACCAAGCACATACTGAACTGGTACCTTTTGATATTTAGCACTTTTAGAAATTTTTATTTTTTACCTTTCCATGGCAACAAGTTGGATTTAAGTTTTGATATAGGGTGTGTTCACTTATGGAGTATAACAAATAAACTGTTAAATATTTCCTTGCCAAACATTGCATGTCTATATATAAAGCACATACTGAACTGGTACCATTTGATATTAAGGAGTTTTAGAAATGTTTATTTTAGAATTTCCATTGCAGCTGTTTTGACATGGGCTATGAGAAATGTTGAGTCAGTTACCTGGTTTGGGACCATAACGTGTTAAAATGGATTGGGGATATAGATAATTTCGTCGACTATACACTTGTTTACATCCAGAATGCAATCCTCTGAAGTCTTCTGTCCATGGATACTTCCGACCTGCAAGCAGCAATATGCATAATGTAATGCAGGTTAAGTATTAAGTAGAGACTATATTCTGATATTCTAGTTTCTATTTAGTTAAAGACATTTCTACAGTAATCATAAGTAATGTTTTGTGGTTTCCAGGAAACTTTGTATGAAGTATATTAGCCAGTTGTTTAGGCCTGCCCAGAGTGAAATGATTGACAATCAACTTTGACCATTTGTGTGTTTCGACGGTTACCCTGAAAGTGACAGCTCTGTGTGGAAGATCACACAAATGCTATCTCTTAGATTTGTTCTACAGAAAAAAAGCCATTTGTGGTAATAGTTTCAAAGTATTGTTTCCATTATTACTATTTGTAGCCTTCATGATCATGATGAGTTTTCTTCTCCTTGAAGAATTGAAGTTGTTAGCTGGTGCGCTACAGAACCTATTTCAATAACTCTGTATTCTGTTGCAGCTGGTTCTAAATCACAAGATCCAGGTCTTGATGCTTGTGATGAGCCTTCGGACAACATCCCACAGACAAGTACGTTATCTATGATAACAGAAAACATTACACAGAACGACCAACAGAGTATGTTTTCCCTCATCTAACATAACCATGACAACAAATTATCTTTATCAACAAGACTGTGTCCACCATACTCACCATCATCGTTCCTCCTCCTCCGAAGAAACCCCAGAACCTATCGGCTGATAATGGATGTGATGGCTCGTCCAATGATTGTTTCAAGTGGTTCCAAATCTATTTTTAAAACTTTCTGTCACAAGAGCGATGCTGATAAACCCTTTTATGGAATAATGAATTAAGAAAACAAAATCCAGTTTGGTTTCTAGGTTGTGGTACTCTGTTCTGTTGTTTGCTATTGTGTAGCAATATTCCTGATATTTTAAGATGTCAACAATATATCTAGATAGGCTACATGTTGTCAGTGATGGCAACTTTATTGATAACAACTTCTGGTTTAATGCATATGGCGACGTTTCGATGTAGATTCTTACACTGTTATCAAGCTGGTGTGACAACAACCAAGTGTTGGGGTATAGATACAAGTTGTGATTAACATTGACAACAATGGTAATAGATAACAAGTAGCATACAGGTAATTGGGTGAAGCCAAATGTACAGTCAGAATAACTACTAGCACACAGGTAATGAAGCACACAGTTGATGAAGCACATGGGTAATGAAGCACACAGTTGATGAAGCACATGGTTAATGAAGCACATGGGTAATGAAGCACATGGGTAATGAAGCACATGGGTTATGAAGCACACAGGTGATGAAGCACACGAGTAATGAAGCACATGGGTATTGAAGCACACAGGGAATGAAGAACATGGGTTATGAAGCACATGGGTAATGAAGCACATGGGTAATGAAGCACACGGGTAATGAAGCACATGTGTTATGAAGCACACAGGTGATGAAGCACACGGGTAATGAAGCACATGGGTATTGAAGCACACAAGTAATGAAGCACATGTGTTATGAAGCACACAGGTAATGAAGCACATGGGTAATGAAGCACATGGGTTATGAAGCACACAGGTGATGAAGCACATGGGTAATTAAGCACATGGGTAATGAAGCATGCGAGTATTGAAGCACACGGGTAATTAAGCACATGGGTAATGAAGCACACAAGTAATGAAGCACATGGGTAATGAAGCACACGAGTAATGAAACACACAGGTAATGAAGCACACGGGTATTGAAGCACATGTGTTATGAAGCACACAGGTAATGAAGCACACGGGTAATGAAGCACACAGGTGATGAAGCACATGGGTAATGAAGCACATGTAATGAAGCACACGGGTAATTAAGCACATGGGTAATGAAGCACATGGGTAATGAAGCATGCGGGTATTGAAGCACACAAGTAATGAAGCACACAGGTGATGAAGCACATGGATATTGAAGCACACAGATAATGAAGCACACAGGTAATGAAGCACACGGGTATTGACGCACACGGGTATTGACGCACACAAGAAATGAAGCACATGGGTAATGAAGCACATGGGTAATGAAGCACACAAGTAATTAAGCACATGGTTAATGAAGCACACGGGTAATGAAGCACATGGCTAATGAAGCACACAGTTAATGAAGCACACGGGGAATGAAGCACACGGGGAATGAAGCACACAGTAAATGAAGCCAGATGTACAGTAAGGATAAGGATTAAACAGTTGTGATTGGCTCCTAATTAAAATAGTCGATGGCTTGATTAGATCTTCATATGCAGACGAGATGTAATACCCTTGATCTCTATTGATCAAAGGTTTGTGGTGGCAGATGTCTTTAGCTTCTGGGAGTTTTCCTTTGGTGAAGTCCTGATGTTTGGTTGAGAGGATTTGGATTTGAAACTGAATTTGATGGCTAGATGCCTTTGCTGATGATCTGAGAGAGCTGATTTGCTGTCTGCTTTGGCTTTTGCAGTTTTATGTTCTTTGATTTGGGGCTGTCTGCTGTCTGCGGGCGTAATCTGTGCATTTTTTTAAAAAGGGTGCTTAAAAGGATTAAGAATCACTGGGTAATAAAGAAATTATTACACTCATGCTGATTTTACGAAACTTGTGTCAGAATTCATGTATTACCCTCACTCTCGCTAAGGGAAATATTAGAACTCTTACTTCGTCAAATCAGTATGACACACATGAGTGTATAATAATCTCTGTGTATCTCTGTTATTTTCCAAAATCCTCTTGTGTTTAGGAGAGTTCAGTGTATTTACCCATCGTCCAACCACCATCTAGTGCTACGCTCAGTGCCACAACTGTTGCTATAGTCAGGAAGAAGGAGGAGATACATGAATGGAATGAGACCATTTGATATTCGGAAGGGGGCTGGTATTTTATTGAAAAAATACATTGTCCCAGAAAATGCTTGAAAAATATAATTTTGCTTCAGACTGTTTAGAAAAAAGGAAATTCGTTGACACAAAAAATACTTTTTTTTTAAATAGGCTTACAGTTTTAACTAAGAATACATCTGGTTTTGCTGAAAACATATACAGCCTCCATACAATATCCCAGACCCTTCCTCGAATACCAAATATTTGGTCCCTACGGGTGTTATGATCTTATATATTATACAGGATTTTGTTGACATTCCAGCATATGAAAAGGTTCATATTTTACTGATCTAAATTAATATTTTGTGAATGGTTCCAGGGTATTAAGTCATGCTTCATGAGGTGAACTTTTCAGAGTATTTCTCTTTTCAGGTCCAAAAAATAGCATGGACATAGTTCTAATAGGGACAAAGCGATTCTTCTATGAACCTTCAACGGATAAGTACTACAAGAAAAAGTTGTTGGTAAGAAAACCACCTGTGTATCGGTGAGCTGTGAACTTGACCATGTGAGCCTCGGGCTTAATGTCGTCAATCTGTACACCCCTGTCCGTCAACTTAACGTCTTCTAAACAGATTGAAGCATTAAACCTGAAACTTGGTGACGGCATTAAAGTCATGTTGTTTATGTTTCCTGATGTTGTGACTTGAGCTGATTTATTATCATTTATGTATTGAAATATTTGTTTACTGAAGACTGTTTGTTTGTGGATGTCATAGAAGCAATATCGAGACGAGTGCTTGTCTCTGTCTTTTCTCTACTGATCGAATGTACTTCCCAGATTCAGAAATGTAAATTTCAATTCTTCAAATAATTAGTCAAATGCAAAACAAAATTCCTGCCAAATTACAATCATATATATTGAGCTACAAAAATTCTAGTAATTTTTCGTTGTAACCAACCCAAGCCGATTAAAAAATGACAAAAATGTAAACCATATGTAAATATGTTAAATAAGTGAACCATCTTTAAATACATGTATATCAAATATATTGACCATATGTCATGTATGTTAATATGTCATATTATGTAAACCACATGTAAATACACTAAACTATGTTTATAATGAACACCCTTATAATGAACTGATGGATATAACAAACTGTTTATTGGTCACATCCATTTGCTGAATATATGCTGTATATAGGCTTATGATGAACGATTGTTGTAATGAATTGAAATTAGTGGTCCCTTTGAGTTGATTATAACCATAGTTTACTGTATGTCGAATATGTAAAGCACATGTAAATATATCAGATATGTAAAGCACATGTAAATATGTCAGATATGTAAAGCACATGTAAATATGTAAAGCACATGTAAATATGTCAGATATGTAAAGCACATGTAAATATGTCAGATATGTAAAGCACATGTAAATATGTAAAGCACATGTAAATATGTCAGATATGTAAAGCACATGTAAATATGTCAGATATGTAAAGCACATGTAAATATGTAAAGCACATGTAAATATGTCAGATATGTAAAGCACATGTAAATATGTCAGATATGTAAAGCACATGTAAATATGTAAAGCACATGTAAATATGTCAGATATGTAAAGGACATGTAAATATGTCAGATATGTAAAGCACATGTAAATATGTCGGATATGTAAAGCACATGTAAATATGTCAGATATGTAAAGTGTGGCCTACTCTCTGTATGTTGTAGAGAAAGTGTCCAGTTCCTACCTGTGGACTGAAGAAGCCTCAGAATTGGAAGAACCTGTCCAAACACTGGTTAATGGCGCACACGCCCACAAAGAGGAAGTACAGCTGCCCCATCGAGGGATGCAAGCAGACTTCACCTTTCAGTGTGACACAGCTCCGCTTGCATCTCCCAGCTGAGCATCATGTCAGCAAACAAGATGTGGACCAAAAAGTCCAAACAGCAAAAGTTCATCTTGTACCAAATGAGAAATTCTGTGATCCAGGAAATATTGTCCTGCCACGTCCCACTCAGGTAATGCAATAGATCATGATTCACTCAGGTAATGCAATAGATCACGATTGGGTGGGGATCTTGATCTAGAACATGAAAACCACAGATATTACGTACTTTCATTGTAAAAAACAAAGTCACATTTTAAGCCAAATTTTGGGTAAAGATTTAGGACAAAAGTAAAAAAAACCAACTAGATATGATAGTTGAAGGTTACAAAGAATGTAATCTGAGCAAAAATATTTATGAAAAGGGATTAATCCGGAAAGGATGGCTCGGATTACAAAGCTCAGGAAATTTTCCCCAACCACTTGGTTGACGTGAAAATGAGAGAGTGACGAGTAACCAGTCTTGGGCACATGCTTCTGGTGTGCATGCTCAGTCCAAGGGTGTGTTCAGGTGAGATGTTTACTCTGATCTCCAGGAACACAGTTCAGGAAGATTCCACTACCTTTGAGAAATGAGTAGAAATAAGCTACCGGTATAAGTTGTCAGGATAATGTGTCAGGATGACTATAAATAATATTTGTACCCTAAAAAATACATTTTTATAAGACATTAGCAGAGTTGCATCCCTCAGGCACACCAGAAACCTAAAACTCTTGCAAATACTCTACATGTATTACATCATTGCCAAATTCCTGTATTCAGATTTTTCAACAGAAGTCCTCTTCACTGTCAACTATATTAAACTAGTTGTCACCATATTAGTACCATCAATCATCATACAGGTCTTAAGCTTTATGAGTTGGGGAAATCACTTTCCTATGTGCGCAAGAGACAAAACAGCTTTTCACTTAGTCTGAATCTCTATCATTTAGGTTATGTAGTCACACTAGACAGCCAGTTTTCAGCTTACTAGTTGATTTCTCATCATTTTCAACTAATTTAGATGTCTGTTCAGTAAGTGGTCATGTTACTTGATACTCACGTAAGAATTAGTGGTGTCTGTGTAAGTCCGAAATGGCGTCCTCGATCTCTCCCACAGCTTGTAAGGCATGTGGAAGATGAAACCTGACTTCTTTCTCCAACATCTATCAACTAGAGACAGATGAGTGATGTGGAGGAGGGTGGGAGTACTTCTGTCGTAATAGAGATAGTATTCTTAACATAATAAACAATGATAACTATTCTTGCAAATACTCTACATCTATTACATCATTGCCAAATTCCTGTATTTTGGCTGCAATCACACAAAACTAATCTTCAGATTTTTCAACAGAAGTCCCCTTCACTGTCAACTACACTAAACTAGTTGTCACCATGTTAGTACCACCAATCAGCATACAGCTCTTTAGATGCCTTCACTGATACAAGGTTTATACCAGAATCATGAGTATCATCAGAGTCTTAAGTTTATAATGACAATTCAACACGAAAGTTGCAACAATGATTTAATACATGAAACACGTTCAATATAACACATATCTAACAAGTTTGGCGTAAGGGGATTCTCACTGTAAACATGTGACTAGAAAGCTATTGGTACATGTACATGACTGAGCATCAGTCATGCCCAGCTAGGGATCGATTCGCCTTTCACAACTGACAACCTTCCCAAGCATTGGGTATAAACACAGGAGAATCGACTACATGTACCTGACTTATGTGTACCTGACTGAGCATCGGTCAGGCCCAAGCTGTTGGGATCAATTGTCGAGAGTGATACATAGAATACTAAGGTTTCGACAATTAACTACACATCTATCATTCTACACTACAGATAGAAACGCATTAGATGCTAAATACCATGTACAAGATGGAGGTCAAGCCTGACCTGTGTTTTGACAACATGCATCCAATGCATCCCATCCTAATGACTGCAGGGGTAAATATACCCCGATTGCTAATACAAAAATTGAATATAACAGTGAGAATCCAGAAACAAACAAAAATAAGAGTGAAACAAGGATAAACATGGACGGTAGTTGGGGATGGAGGTGGGATTGCTTGTCATTGTTGTGACACCTGCACAAGATGGCTGACCTGAATCGTAATTGCGCATGCTCGTACTTGGCATGCTGGGAAATTGCTGTATCCTGTTACTATAAATAGCATCACGCACGAGACATGTATGTATTACGGACGTTTGTTTATTGTAGATTCTTATAATAATATTAATACATAACCTCGTGGTTAGTATTACACTTATCTGGTAATAAACTGCAGAAGATGTCTTCTGGCTTTTAATGTTGTTATGTTACCTAATAATGAAACCATAGAATATAATTAATGATGTGCCAATGCCAAAAGCTGATGGAATTAATACGTAACAATTATTGTATATTACATTAAACTTTGGAAAATATGAGACAATAACGACATAGCAGTTTTAAGTTGTCATTATAAACTCACTCAATATACATTGAGCACCAATAGTTTTCTTCAACCCCCATGTTAACCCCGGCTCTTATCACCAGAAGTGACATCACAATCGTAGGTAACAATGTGACTGGAAGTGACGTCACAATCGTAGGTAACAATGTGACTGGAAGTGACATCACAATCGTAGGTAACAATGTGACTGGAAGTAACGTCACAAACAGGAAGTGATGTCATAGATATCTCAGACTGGGAATGAGGTCATAGTGATGAATTATGCCGGATATTTTGTCACAGTCTGAAAAGAACAGGAAGTGACGTCATAAAGAACAGGAAATGATGTCATCAAGAGAGTAGTGACCCAAAAACGAAAGTGACGTCACAAACCAGAAGTGACAGACAGAGATGGTTTAAGATCATCTAACGACGTCATTTACATGCATATTAGCAAATAAAGAAGTAGGTTTTTGTGCAGGTACTAAATATTCTGTTTCATGGAGTTTTCAAGTCCCCTTTAGGGGTGGTTGGGTAGCTTAGTGGTTAAAGCGTTAGGTTTAATTCCAAACATGGGTACAATGTGTGAAGCCTATTTCTGGTTTCCCCCACCATGGTATTGCTGGAATATTGCTAAAAGCAGACTTCCGCACTCAATTCATGTCCTCTTGAGGTGATTCGTTAGATTGTTACATCTTTAGGATTTAAGACACACTATTAATGGATGGATTAAAAATTGTACTATCAACTACACTGAGAGTCAACTAGAGGCAGAGCCCGCCTAGCCCTCTATTATATTCTGACAATGATGTAGTGGAGATAGAGTATTTGCAAGAATACTAGGAACAATAGTTATTATACCCCCGACTTTTAAAAGTCGGGGGTATAAAGTTATACCAAGGTTCCATCCATCCGTCCGTCCGAAAACTTTCGATTTCTCTTAAACTATTCAGTGGATTCATCTCAAACTTAGTACATATAATCTGTGTCATATGGAGGGGTGCAGTCAAAAGAAAAAAATTGTTTTTATTAATTTTCCATTTTTTTATGAATTTTTCAAACCCTAACGTCCGTCTGAAAACTTTGTCCTCGCGATTTCTCTTAAACTATTCAGTGGATTCATCTCAAACTTAGTACATATAATCTGTGTTACATGGAGGGGTGAAGTCAAAAGAAAAAAAATGTTTTTATTAATTTTCCATTTTTTTATGAATTTTTCAAACCCTAACCCTATCCTAGCTATTTAATTTGAAAGTACTGACAGACTAGGCAGGTCGGGGGTATTAGTGAGCCACGCTCACTTTTTTTTCTTGTTGTTATTTATGTTAAGAATACTATCTCTATTACAACAGAAGTACCCCCACCCACCTCCCCATCTTTTATCTGTCTCTAGTTGAAGCGAGGATTTTCCCGACTCGGCAAACTAAAGACCTGTATGAGGATTGGTTGTAATGATGTGGTGACAACTAAATGTGTAGTTGACAGTGAAGAGGACTTCTGTTGAAAAATCTAAAGATTAGTTTTAGTGTGAAAAGTCAAAAAGTTCAGTTTCCACCCTTGCCGAACTAAGCTGGAATTTCTGGGTTTAAACGTAGCACCACCTGTGGCTATTACAAGTTTTGTCTCTTCTATGTCCCTCCTTTTTACCAATCAAATTCCACTTCTCTTATCACTTGCATGTGGTCTAAACAAAATGGAGATGCACACTCATGATGATCTGATCGTTAGCAAGATCTATATTGTTATAATAGGGTTATATTTCACGAAGTGCACCAAATCACATGACCACCTTTATTAAAAACATGAAAAGATTTGTAAAATAATGTTTGATTCTGAGTTGGCGGACACGTTTTGCAAATCCTGCATTCTGCACGGTAGTTTTCGAACAGGATGTTGATGTTGTTACAAGATTTTGATTGGACTATGCATAGACTCGTTAGTCCAGCCAGAATATAACTCTATAATTCCAGCCTAGTTCGGCAAGGGTGGAAACTGGAGTTTTACACTCTGTTAACTCCCTTGCCTAGGGAAGCTGTTACCTACATGGTAACTCTCCTACTTATCTTTACTGTAACTTTTTAACTACACATAGGATGGACATTCACTATTAAATTACTGATAGAAGTATGCTGTTTTCTATTTAGGCCAAGGGACCACAAATTAAAATCCCGCAGACCCAATGCCCAGTGGAAAACTGTCCTCACTCGTACACAACAATGGCAAGCATGCAGCAACACTGGTCCAACTACCATCGTGCGTCGGTGAAGATGTACTGCTGCAATCTGTGTAACGACGTGATGAAGGGCAAGTCCCTCATACAGCAGCATCTCGAGAAGAAGCACGCTGTGGACTTCCATGACAGCCGCTGGAAGCTGGTGGAGTGGGAGAACCAGCAGTTCATCGACCCAGGGGATGTGATCCCCTTCTGGAACCTCTACACCACCAAGGAGGACGAGATGAGTCGGCAGCAGCTGGAGAAGGAGCTGGGCAAGGACTTTCCACTGGTGGACATTCCAATGCAGGAGTTGGAGAGGAGTGGCCCGGGCCTGTATGACTTCTATGAGTGGACAGAGAACTACATGCACAGACTTCAGGTTGCTCAAAAATATGCCCTGGAGGATCTTCAAAAACTTACACGCAGAGCTTTGGAAGAGAATTAAAATTCATATTCAAGGAAGAATGTTCTGTGAGAGCTTCTTAACTTGAAGTAATATGGGTCTGTTTGTCCATAGTTTGAGACAAGCCGAGTGCAGACGTAGTGCTGCCCAGACAACAAAGCAGAGTATCATCTCTCCATTTGATTCAGATAAATACTCTGGGCCCACTTGCACAAAGCAATCTTACCACTACAACTATTGTAAGCCTATGTTAAAGTATGGGAGTTACAATCATCTTAGCGCTAAGATCGCTTTGTGCAAGTGGGCTCTGGACTCATTCACCACCACAGCCTCATTCTGGAAGTGGTGCCTCAGGAGTGGTGGCTATTTAGCTTCGCCTATTTCCAATCGGACTCTAACTGAACTTGTGGCTATTGGGTCCAGGGTATTTATCTGAAGAGAATGGAAAGATATTACCCTGGATAAATGAGGATGATGCAAAGCAACATTAATGATTTATATAGCTAATGAATGGAGTTAACAAGATATTACTGTATGTCGTATGTGCATGTGGTTTGAGATTGTCACTTTGCATGGCAGACATGTGAAAGGTCTATAATACATGTTTACCCTGTTTATCATGTGTCTTTGAAATAAAAATAAATAATCTTACTACAACAGACTTTGAATTCCTGTTTCTGGGAAAAGAACAAGCACGTAGGTAAACCTTGATGTACTAAATTCTTATAGGACATACCAGTACGTGTAGGAGTTAATTTGGTGTGTGAATCAGATATTAATACAGCATTGAGCATACATTCAGAACTTGGACTTCATGGGGGAATCAAATATTAAGAGGATGCACATGGTTGAAAACCCCTGAATTTTGAGGTCGATCTTGAAAAGTCTTTGATTTTTGGTTCTGGCTTGAAAATTGATAATGTTCCTTGGATTTTCTAAACAAATCTCCATTCCAGGATTCCACCCTGACCCCAGTCGTATACCCAACTTCCAATGGGATCACACTTTTTAACAAGTACATTTGAAATATTCAGATATTACCAAATTCTGAAACTGTTTCTAACTTTTATGATAATTGGGTTTCTAAGAGATTGGGCATGTGAATTGATCTACATCTGTTTAGTTAGGCACAAAATATACAGGAAACTGTCCAACATGCAGTGCATTCTTCACTTTACAAACTGGGACACATGCCCGTAGTGTGGAAGGTCGGTGGTTCGATTCCGGCATGTCATAACAAAAAACATTAAGAGATAGTAGTTGTTATTACCCAGCCTGGCGTTGGCCTTACAGGGACAGGACGTTGACCGTTCTGAAGCTTTGTTTGTAAACAGTAGCTGACACAACCCCCAAGCTTACTAAGCTCTGCCTGCCTTATTCTGTTTCTGCTCCAGTGACACCGCCGAAGGTGCATGACACGATAGCTTTACACATCACTGTTACCATTATCGCTAGCTCTCTGTAGGGATTCCATGACAGGACACGGAGGATAATTACGTGAAACTCGTTTTTCATGTTTTGTGATATTTTCTCTATGAAAGTTAAACATTTCATGATGGATGTTTATCTAAATGTGTAGACTCGTCCAAAAGGTAAAGATGAAAAACACGTGAATGGACTGTTCGAGTTGTGACAATGTGACAGATGCGTCTACTTAGCTGGTCGCAGGGAACCCTGGGTAGGAGAGTGATTGGTTTCATACAACCAAGTCATATATATATTTATGTTGTGATCGATAGGCTTTGATCAACACTGGCTTCTAATCTAATCAAGCTGGCAATTAGTATTTTGTAACTCATCTGTAAGAAAAACACACGAGCTTTCTCTTCAGTTTGCCGCTATTAAAAAACATGCATTTCATGCATTATTTAAAAACGGGTGCAGGCTAAAACGGCACCCCAGCAAAACGTCACCTATTTAAAAACACATGGAACCGTCAACATACTGTCCCTTCAAGGGAATGAAACAAGGACTGGTAGGCTCAGAGTCCGAACACTGTCTGAGTCGGGTATCCATGTTAAGCTGTGGCGTGGCATCTCACTGGGCAAGCAGTATAAGATCGGAAAAAGTCCGGAATAGTACAAGCAGCGAATGCGCAGTCGCTATGAAATTGCAATATTAAATCTTGATTGAGAGTTAAACGTCATTTTACGTCACCTCCTTTTACTACAGCTAAACATGTGGCTACTTACATCAATACATGACACAGAACAGCAGCACTTCAGGGGGACTACGTTATGCATACAGAGACTTACAGATGTTTTATGAAGTAAAATACCTGATCTCACGGTCAGAACATTTTCAGTTGACTCGGACTGAACTGTAGTTAGTCATAGACTCATGGCAACAATTACCTTCACAAGGTCATCTTTAAGAGCTGAAATCTTTTCTTTTTTTTCCAAGGCTTGCTAAATTATCCGCAATGTACACTCAAAATTTCCGTCAAAGCTTAACTGCAGGACAGTCTTCTGCTTGTTTGGCCATTTCTGGTGGCCCCCGCCGTGATATTGCTGGAATATTGCTAAAAGCGGCGTAAAACCATAGTCACTCACTCACTCTGCTTGTTTGTTTTGTTGTTTAAGGCTGCACTCAGCAATATTCCAGCTATATGATGATGTAAATAATAGAGTCTGGACCAGACAATCCTGTGATTGACATTATGAGCATCGATCAACGCAATTGGGATATAATGACATCAATCAACTAAGTCAGTGAGTCTGACCACCCGATCCTCTTAGCAGCCTCATCATAGTGAATTGGTTTACCATAGACTTACTATCTCCGAGATGAATTTATGTTTGTTTAGACTAACGCAAAGCATCACTATGTTTCCCTTGCATTCTCATTTTTTTCAAAGTGGCGGTGGCCTAGTGGTTGAAGTGTTCACTCGTCATGAAGAAGACCCGGGTTAAATTTCCCACATGGGTACAATGTGTAAAGCCCCTTTCTTGTGTCCCCCGCCGTGATATTGCTGGAATATTGCTAAAAGCGGCGTAAAACAATACTCACTCACTTAATCGTGATACCAGGGGCAGGTAACTGGAATTAGGAATATATATATATATATATATATATATATATATATATATATATATATATATATGTGTGTGTGTGTGTGTGTGTGTGTATATATATATATATAATGTATTTCGATATATAATCGATGTGAAAAGACATGTGGGTGCGTTCAATCCCAAAAACATCATTCTTCCAACTTTTTCGGTAATAACCAGTGTCACACGGTCAGGCTTTTAGTCGTCCCAGACAAGTATTCAAAGACCGAGTTTCAGTAAATTGTATTTATTTGCCTGTAACATGAACGTCAACATGAGAAAAGTGTTGATTGCTGTCGGCCATCCTACCAGGCTGACAGGTGACAGGCGACAACTGCCAGACAACTAGCCAACTTTAGTGGCAGAGAGAAAAGTGATGTCATCTGATTGTGATGTCATGGTAACAGATCACATATCGGTGGGCGAGCACTTTGAAACCAGCAAAAGTCCAGACTAGTACATGCAGCCACACACACACACAATCACTTCGCCATATTTAAGAGATATAATCTTAAGGTGGCACGGGTGGCACCACGATTCGCTGTGCAGAGTTGTGTCCCTTGGGCACGCCAGAAACCTATGATTGTGGGTTCGAATCCCGATTCGCCCCGATTATGTTTCTAGGTTTGTCAGCACCATACCCGTGCTCGTGGGTTTCACCGAAGTGGTAAACGTCTGAGACCTGCATCACTTTGGGCTTTCCTCCCACATTAAGCTGACACACCGTGATATAACTGGAATACTGTTAAAAGCGGCGTTAAACCCAACTCACTCACTCACTATAATCTTAACGATGACCCTGATTACACAAAGACAATGTTTCAAGTTTCACAGCCCTGACCAGGAGTGCAAACAGCTGACAGGAGCATCATTTGTCTCTGGTGGATCATCCAGCTAGCGAAAGATGAGGCCTTGATGATAAACCAATCAAGAGTGACCCTGTCAGTTTTAATTTGAATTTATGTCAGCAACAGTTAGGGAATGCAGTTATTATTTTCAAGTTGTCCAGAGAGAAGTCATATGGAACAAGTTTGTTTTAACAGAGCATAAATAATCTGAAATATTCAGAGTGAATCTATTAAAATTGTTAAAACTGATAACAAACGGAAACTAATGTTACAAATCTGTTTATTGAGAAAATGCTTATTTTAAAAAAAATTGTCCGAGAGTCAAACGCTGTGACGACCTTGCCTTTGTTGGTAGAAACTCTTAACAACGCCTACTACTTTGGACTGTGTGTGGAGCAAGATCTTAAACCGGAAGTGAATGAAGCTGTCAACACCGTGGAGAAACAAAGACGACTTCAGAAGAAACTCTCATCTTTAGGTAAATATGCGGCAACACTACAACTTTCTGAAATGCACACTTTATGATCAGAACATATACTAACGAAATATGTCAATACCTAGTCAGCTGCATTCTGAAATCACCAGTATGTGTGTCGTATATAATATTGTTTGCAAGTCATGAAGTATCAGGATATATTTAATATGAAAGTATGTCTAGATTGTGGGAAGATGGGAATGTAACAGGTTCTTTTGGTTACCATGAATATGGTTCACACTTTGAGCATGTGTTTAATAGTTTCCTCTATCTAGGTTTTCAGGGTAGGTAAGGGACTTGTCATTTATTATACCAGTATACGGGAGGGGGGTCGGTGACATAGGTGGTGGGGGCAGGGGTTGAGAAAAATGAGTTTTACTTTTTAAAAATAAAGAACAATATAAGTGTGTAATTATTTGTGGACTGCCCAGTTATAATGGAAAAATGTTACCTGTATATGTATTGGGGAAGTGGGGTGGGGGTGGGTGGGAGGAGTGGTATGATGAAATGATACATGGAATAGGGGGGTCTACCAAATATATTACAGTGTAATCAGAATCACCCCTCCCAAGTGGTTGGATTTATGTTTTGTCAATATTATTTTAGTGTTAAACTTTTGATCTTGATATTTAATTCAAAATCAATTGGTAAGTGTAGGAAGGTATGCAAAAATTTACTAAAGTGTAAATGGAATAGCTTGAAAGTTGAATTCATAAGGTCATGGGTAATTTGATAAACAGCCATCTTAAAACATTTTGATAAGGACCCTTTCACTCTCATTCTTGATTTCAAACAGTTATCTGACAATTGCAATGTTTTTCAGCCGCAGGGGACAGAGATGTGAGCTCCAGGTGTACAACTCAGAGTCTTTGGAATATTCTTTTTTTCAAGTCAATATGGCAAAAAAGGAGGAGAAAGAATGGATAGAACTGACAAAGCCACTTTCACAAAAACATCAACCAAATGGTGCCAACAGTCAACTTGTGACCATGACAGGAACCGTCACCCATGGTTACCAGACAGGGCAGACAGTTGAAGTTATGATGGAGCTGACCGATACTGAGCTGAAGCGCTTGACCAGCAAGGAAGATCATGCAGCATCCCGTCAGTGTCGGTGTGGGGCGAAGCAGGGACTACATATCATCCTTCTCTCGGTCGTCTGCTTCCCTGTGGCGTTCATTGCGTCGGCCTGCATGGCGTTCTACCTGGGTAGCATGACCTGGTATAACATTTACCTGTACTTCAGTGAGGAGAAGACAATATGGCACAAGGTGTCTGTGTGTCCATTGCTTATTTTGACTTTTCCCTTCTCGGTGGGGTTGTCTGCTGTTGCAGTGGCGATGTACGCTGCTGTCATCCAGGTGTCGTGGTGGTTCTCATCGTGGAGGAAGGAGTTTGCAGACTTCGAGAAAGGCTTCTATGGCTGGCTGTGCAACAGATTGAAGCTTGCTGAGTGTTCACCGTACGAAACTGTTATTCTTAATGAAACCGATGAAGAAATATTACACACTTCGCGGTCTTAAAATCGATTGATTATGAGAATGCAGTGCTGTTGAAGGGTTTAAGTCTTATCAATGCTTGTGCAATCAAAATACTTCTGTCACAGCTACAATGTTTGACAGTCTGACCAGGCAATATGTTTCTTGTCAGAAGTTTGTGTCAACCAGATTTCAATGTGAAACTTTCCCTTGCTCCGTACAGTATAAGGATATTCAAGCTTATGGAAGTAGTGCTGTCATTGATATATCGATATGCTGAAAGATTTATTCTGACATTTTACATCTGTTAGTAAGGTCAGATTTCAAAGTACACAGAATATAGACTTTGGTCTTGGACATGGTGAATAGGTCGTTTGATATTGAAGTATCGCTGTGAGGAGGACTTGGGTAGGAAGTCATCCAGGGTGTAATGGTAGTTAGATGGTGCCAGTGACGCAACAATTATTTGAGTCTAAATGGTAATTGGGAGTCCTTTGGACTTATTTCAGTGTAGTCCACATAGTCTACACATACGGACCATTATTATTTTTGTACTTCGACTGAAGTTGGTTAACAAGACAGGCGTTGGTATGGTCACAAAGTCAAGATACCTTTTATAACATATTTGGACATTTATTCAGTTTCTGAGGCAATAGGTGTATGAAATGTCTCAGTGAGCTTGGTGACATCTTTAACTTCCTTCTTTATGTCATGTACGCTCATCAGCTCATGGTGGCAGCCATTACGGACAGGCTTGATTGAAGTGGCTGGTGTAAGGGAGGCAACTCTGGTATTTTTTGTGTTGGTTTGTGTCAGCTGTACATGACATTTTGTTTATGTGTATAGATATATGTGATAATTTTGCTCTGTAGACATACAGCAGTCTGCCCCACAAACCTTTGAGTCCACTACCCTAAACGAGCCTTGGGGCCATTTTCAGCAGATGTTTTGTTAATAGATGGGTTATTGTTAGCTGAGGTTACTTGACTAAGACTTAACAGAAGTTTAGGCTTCAGACTTGGCTCAAGTCACAGACTGTATACAGTGACACCTCAATAGTCCAGACTCTGTTAGTCTGATAAACCACACCTTCCGAACAGCCTTGTTGGGTTGCCAAAGTATTACTCTCTACCCATGATGCAGTGGGGATGTTTGTTAATCTGCACGATGTGAAAGAGTGTGGAACTGACCGCAGTGAGGAGGTGATAATATGTACTCTGGAGTGTGATGATGACTTGGTACTGTCTACTTGGTCTACGGAGAGCATCACATCATCATCAGCTGGGATGTGTGGTTCAGGGATTTATCTAAGCAACTTTGGCGAGGAAATTTGGGGGAAAATGTGATGTTCAAAATTGGATTAATTTAATGTTCTTATTTTTGTAAATTCTGAGGAATTGGGAAACGTTGTATTCCAAATGGGAATGTTCTCTGTGTTTTGCAGACTTAGGGCCGAATATCGTCCTCTGAGCAGGTCCAGATAAGTCCCTGTGGTGTCCTCATAGAACCAGTCATTTTCGTCACCGCTATGTGTGTCAGCTATTGTCCTTTAACAAGTTTAATATCTGCGTTGATCTGGTCCAGACTCAATTGTTTTCAGACAGCTGTCATATAGCTTGAATATTGCTGAGTGCGGTTTTAAACAACAAACAAAACATTATATCTCCTCTGTGTAACCATGGTTACGCTGCTTGCATAATAGAGCTGCCACTCAGGTGTACTGTATCTGATGGATGCTGTGTGGCCGGCCGGGACAGTATTAAAGCCAAACCTTGCTAGCTTGAGTTTATTGAGACATCACTGTGTCTCTTGTCTTTGGTGGATGTTGTAATCTCACGTCACTCCACTTGCTCATGTGGCACTGGAGTCTAAAGTCCGCTCAGTGCCAGGTACTTCTATATTTGATACATGGCACATGATCCATTGCAAATCTGGTAGTTTTATAATTGATGCATTAATATGTCATAGCACACATTGCTTCAGAATCTGGTAGTTCGTTAATATCTCACAGCACCAAATCCACTCAGCGTCTTATAATCTGTATCACAAAAATGTCTCACTGCAGATGATCTTATTTAGAATCTAGTAGGCTTAGTTGTTGCACAGTCGTCTCTGTTGTTTGTAACCATAAACCATTTTACATGTAACACCAAAATAATGACTTATTCCACTAATTAATGTCATTTTGTACACTTTGAAAAGTAGTTAAGGAACTGCATGTATCGCTTGTCGCATATCAGATGCTGGGTTATCTCCCTTTGACTTTAACAAATGTGATGTTTGGGATAACGCTTTCTTTGACCACTTTCTTGTTGACACGTGACTATTCTTTGACTGTCCGTGAGTATTTCTGTACATGGTGTAGCAGGTTGCCAGTGGTGGCATTATGTCTCACTCGGTCAACTAGATGTGTTGTCAGTTGTCTAAAAGGAAGCTTATATATGTGTCATTGTTTCTGTTGACCAGAGGGACAGTGAAACAAAGTTGATCCTTTCTGAAACTATGGTTTGATACGCTGCAGCTTCTACACTGCTATATGACCATGGTTATTTGAAGGCCTTCGTGTGTCGGTCTTGTTGACAAGCTGGTGATGGTTGTGAGTTTCAGTGCTGCCTTACTTGTAACTATTTTCTTACACTAATGTACATGCTGTATATGTGCATGCACTGAGCCTAACTATTTTGTATGATCTACCAATATTGCAATTTACAGAGAATTAAGATGGTTGTGAAGCATTTAGAGGTTCAACAATGAACAACCATATCAGAGTTTGTATTTAGATAAGAAAGAGGATACTTTTTATAAATAATTCAACGTCATGGGAAATTGTTCGGATCAACGGTTCTTTGAAGGTGCCTGCAGTTTAGCATCTACTTATTAAACATCACTTATGATTAGATTGCTAATGTTTAGTTTTATGTGATATGGAAGTTGTAATTAGCATGGAAGATCACCACAGAAAGCATTTCTTACCGTCTCCTAGGAATATATGGACAGGAAATCCCAACACGGTGTTGGCTAAGACTAGATTCAACTGAACAGATTTCAGCATGAATCTGTCTTCACATCTTAAGCTTGACACATTCACTGCCAGAAACAGTAGGCTCAAGTGCATGTGTCACATGGCTCCTATTGGCATTCTAGGTGGAGTACAATGGTATAAGTTACATGTGTCATTGTAGCAGGTGTACAGTAGTTTACTAGCTGAATGCACACCTATTCATTGGTCCAGCAGTTCAGCAATTCCCCAAAACAGTCTTGCAATAACGGGCAGTAACAACCTGGCATTACTTCAAAGATCTTAGCAAATTATTGGCATCGTGCCTACCTTTTCACTGTAAGGCTGGCCATACAACTTGTGTGGGATTTTACAAGATGGCCACTGGCCAATCAGGAGGCTTGATTTTATGATGAGTATTAATTAATTCATAAGCTGTATTTAGTAGAGAAAGCTTTGTTGTAACTGTCAGATAAGAAAATAAGAAAATGTTTTTACAATTGAGAATGCAGACAAAATGTCTGTTTTTGAATTTGCCAAACAATAGTTAGGCCATAGTTGATGTGGAAACCAAATGAAGGTATGATCTTGCAACTTACAGTAGAATCATCACAGTGGTCATGGAGAGAATGTGTCGCAGGCATTCCAAGATTCAAACTTGCTGTAAGCATTATTAATATAGTTGGCAGAATGTTGAGTATTCTATGTATAAAATATGGATGCACTGTCACAACCTCTCATTTAAGAATATCACTGATGGCGCTAGTTTGCACATGGTGCTTACCGTATACATATCACTAACACAATGAGGAGTTCAAGTATTTTTCTGAGAACAAATTGCATGATGGATGTTGTGGAGCCCACATGCACTGGAAGCAGTGTGTTATGCTTATAATCACCTGGGCCCATTTGCACAAATCGATCTTAGCGCTATCGTAAGGCTATGTTAAAGTATGGGAGTTACGAGCATCTTAGCGCTAAAATCGTTTTGTGCAAGTGGGCCCTGGTGAGTTACAGAGCATATTTACATTTGTGATACATATATCTGTACATCCCTTCTATTCAGGTATTGCAGTATCGCAGTGTATCATATCCCCACTTCAATCAGTTGCTGCTGTGGTGATAGGTATTTGTCATTGATGTTTCATGCCTTATGATTATATGAACAGTTAACATATTGATGAGAAATTAATGTATTTGACATTTTTGATGATGTGATTACCTGTTCTGCATCAGGTGGTATTTCTCACTCTAAAACACTACAATGTTGAAATATGATCAATACTGTCTAGGCACTGTTGCTAATGAACAACATGGTAGGTGTAAATTTTTGCTGACTATTTTGTCATACTATTTCACAGTGGCCTACAGTTATCTAGTTTGTTGTCTGTTGTTACCATGGTTACCTCCTGACTTATTGTGGTCTTGATTTACAATCATTAAAAAACTAGGATAACACTTTTGCAGTGTTATTCACTTGTTGGTAAGTATTTTGAGGCACAAACAGTACCTTTTGATAACATGTATGACACTAAGTATGTTTACTACTTAAAGTATAAAACATCATTCACTCTCACAGACAGTGAACAAAAAGTATTTTTTGGGCCAGATCAGTTTATTTTCTATATTTATTTTGTTTAATGTTTCAAATAACAAATAACTACGCTTCGAACATGTACAAATTCAAGAGCCTGTACCCATGTTTTTACACATACAGTCTTCCCAGTAACCTGTCGGTGACATACAAACTGAAAAGGGGAAGTATGTCAAATAGTTTATTTATTTGATTAGTGCTATCTGACTTAATTAACTTCAGTGTAATGACTGAAGCCTCTCTTCTGTCTCAACTGGGAGAGAGGCTGTGTATTTCATCAGTATTGCCAGCACAGACAAATTGGATGATGTGAAACGACCAAGAATTTGGTCCCCAGCAACCTATGCTGGTTGTAATGGATCAGGTCGTCAGGCTTGGTGAGTTTCTTGATGGCTTGTCATCGTACCCGATGGCATGGACCGATGCTCAAAATATCAATCACTGGATTGTCTGGTCCAGACTTGATTAGTTACACATGCCGCCATCATACAGCTGAAATATTGCTGAGTATAGGCCACACACATCTGATATTAACTAAACTATGTTCATCACAGATTTGACCAGGATCAGATGTGTTTTACAATACAAGCACCAGTTAATATATCAGTTCACTGTGTTTCTACACACATGGCATCCTGGTGATCCAGGGCATTATATCTCCATTGTGTGAGGAAAAATACCCTTGACCCATTCGCTGCAATAGCTTTGTTTCAAGACCGATTATATGATGATACAAATAATCGTCCAATCATTTTGGCGTGGGCGTGAGACGTGTGCTCATTGTGGGAGAAGTTGATGTCCATAAATTGTGTCTACTATGTCATCTGTCAACTTCTAAGTCATAACTATCAAACAAGTCATTGTGTGCTAAGTTAGTGAGAAGCCTTGAGATGGTGATGTCACTTCTGAAACAAAGCTATGGTAGTGAATGGGTGCAGGGTGTTTATTACATGTATAATAGAACAGAGATGTCACACTGGGTAATGAAGGACGCTCACATGGAGAGGTTTATTATATTGTGAAAGTATAAATGATATTTACATCAAGGTAGCAAATCAAGTTTTTGAAAATGTTTAATTTAGGGAATCATGGTGCTATGGAAATGTGCATTTGCTTTTTTATATTTGGTCTAAATGTACAATGTTACAGTGTATGTTATCAATATTCAATGTTCTGCTCAATGTGGTGAACACTGCACTTCCTCCTACAGACACAATATAATGGGTGTGTACATATGCTTTCATATGAGTAAAGTGAATCTTGTGTATGTGGTCTTCTTGTCTTCTGTCATTCTCCTTTGGATAACTGTGGAACAAGCACATATAATATAGCTTGTGCCTATAACTGTACAGAGTTGTGTCCCTTGACACTCCCTTGGTATTCAACTGTCCAGTAGGACGTCAGCCAGCATGGAACTAGTGTCATGCATGTGACAATCACATTATATACTGGACCAAAAAGGTTAGGGATCATGAATATTATTTGGGATATATCTTTATTGTTAGGACACAATTTCATAGAAATATCCTCTAAAATAGTCACGATCCATTACGGTTAGTATAGAACACAAATTAGCAGCAGTCATGAACTTAATTTAACTGTTCAAATTGTATCCGTTTTTTTAGTGTTTGCCTTGTACCAAATTTCCTTTTGACACATAATAACCTGACTCAAACCTATGTCAGTTTATACCAACTATATGTGCCGGGATCTCGCACTGCATGTTTTGCTGTGAATTCATGCTACACAATTGCTGTACAAGGTTTTAGGTAGGTAGCTAATGAAGCTGAGTGGACATGAGTGTTGTTTCGTTGAGATGGTTGGACATACAGAAAAAAACACATGGTCTGTGCTGGATACTTAGTGCAGAAGACAAAGGGGCCAAAATTATCTTACAGAGTTGTGTCCCTTGTAACATGCATTCATGTGACCAACACAATGGGGCCAAAACTTACTGTAGCAGTTGTGTCCCTTAGCTGCTAGGATGCCTGATCATGTTGGTTGGTTTGTTGTTTTACGCCGCACTCAGCAATATTCCAGCTATATGACAGCAGTCTGTAAATAATCGAGTCTGGACCAGACAATCCAGTGATTGATATCATGAGCATCGATCCACGCAATTGGGATCGATGACATGCTTCAATCAAATCAGCGAGTCTGACCAACCAGTCCCTGATCATGTGGGTGCAAACCAAGATGCATCTCAACTATGAACCTTGGTCTGTCTTACCAACCAGTATGTTACGGTGGGGGACAGGTGGCCAAGTTGTCTAAGGCACCACAATTCACTGTGTAGTGTTGCAACCCTCAGGTGTGGTGAAACCTATGTCCTGATTTTGATTCCAGGTTTCTAGGTTCACCAAGGGGTAAACAATGGTAAATGCCTGTGACCTGCATCACTTCGGTTTCCTCCCACATCAAGATGACACACCATGATCAGTCTGTGCCCAAACCTCCACAAGCCAGAACTTGGCTCTTTGTATTATTTTCAGTTGATCGACTGTTATAAGGCATTTATTAGCTGATCTTACAAGACCAAAGAGAATCTTTTGTACTCAGGCTACGAACTAGTCACAGTCTGCATGATGTCACTGAAATACTCTTCAATGTGGTGTTTAACCCAAATCACTCACTTGCCCAAGGGGTGTGGGGTAGCCTAGTGGTTCAATTCCCTGTTTTGTGTGAAGCCCATTTCTGGTGTCCCCCCACCGTGATACTGCTGGAATATTGTTTAGAGCCGCATAAAACAATACTCGCTCACTCACTCGCTCACCCAATGTTGTAAGTCTTTATGTCTAAGGCCTTCATGTTACTTGGGGCTTTCCTCTATATTTAACATTGATATTGCTGGAACATTGTTCAAAGTGACTCAATTCCTTGACTTGACTTTATGGACTAGCTTTTAAGTTGTCTTCACAAACAAGGACTAGTTTCATTAACTCATATATTTCATTTATTCATACATAATGCTGTTAATAAACAGCCAAAAATACATGAACAAGCGTCTCTGGAAAATGAAAACGATATATGATTTCTCTACACATACTGTATGTACGAAAGTTAGCACTTGGTGATATGAAACTGACATACTGCACACACATGGCAATGTATAGCACTTGGTGACGACAAACTCCATACACAGCACTGCCACATGATCACCACAATCATATGAAAATATGGATTTAGTTGTTACTTGAGAGGAATTCTTTCAGATAAAGAGACACAATGGCATTACATATTGCAGCATACATCAACAAGCACACACACCATCCACAAGGCACTTGTGATTAGATAGGATGGTAGGCAAGTTGGAACTTGGAACTTGAAATGCCATGAATGGAGCTGTGGGCATATGTAGCATGTGGTGTGTGGAGCTACAGACAAATATAGCACATGTGTGGAGCTATTGGTACACGTAGCATGTGGTGTGTGGAGCGGTGGGCACATGGTGTGTGGAGCTTTGGATACATGTAGCACATGGTGTGTGGAACCACTTGTACATGTTGCATGTGGTGTGTGGAGCTACAGGCCCATTTAGCACATGGTGTGTGGAGCTTTGGATACATGTAGTACATGCAAGGTCCTCACAGTGATAGTCCGTTCGCGGAGCTCTCTATACTATCGCTGCCATCAGTCAAAACTCCCCACTGTGATAGGTGGCCACAACCATGCTTGAAGTTGAACTCGCAACCGACGGACTGTTATGTTTACAAACAAGTGACGACTGTCGTGACGCCGAATACACTTACCCCTGCTAAATTACTTTCTTTGTTTGTCAATTAAATTTCTATTTTATTAAATCTATCATGTCATTGATATAGTAAGAATGTAAGGGAGAAGTTGGTTGATTTTCTGTTAGTCTGCAATCTCGAACCAATCTGATTATACAAACAACAAAGCTAATTCATCTGGAAAACATGTCTGTTGTAAACCTTTTCAAAATGAAACAGAAGTATGAACGTTCCTACGTTAGAGGGCAAATTTCAAAATTCTGGGGATGGCCGCGCACACAATGGTGGCAGCGATGTTACCGAGAGTGTAACGAAGGTGTCACACGCTGGGAAGGAGCTTGGTAGTACATTGTTTGTGGAGCTACTGGTACATGTAGCACACGGTGTGTGGAGCTTTTGACACATGTGGTACATGGTTTGTGAAGCTGTGGGGACATGTAGCACATGGTGTGTGGAGCTTTTGACACATGTAGCACATGGTGTGTGGAGCTGTGGGGACATGTAGCGCATGGTGTGTGGAGCTACTGGTGCAAGTAGCACATGGTGTGTGGAGCTACAGGCACATGTAGAGCATGGTGTGTGGAGCTACTGGTACATGTAGCACATGGTGTGTTGAGCTACAGGCACATGTAGCACATGGTGTGTGGAGCTACTGGTACATGTAGCACAAGGTGTGTGGAGCTACAGGCACATGTAGCACATGGTGTTTGGAGCTACTGGTACATGTAGCACAAGGTGTGTGGAGCTATGGGCACATGTAGCACATGGTGTGTGGAGCTATGGGCACATGTAGCACATGGTGTGTGGAGCTACTGGTACATGTAGCACATGGTGTGTAGAGCTACTGGTACATGTAGCACATGGTGTGTGGAGCTACAGGTACATGTAGCACATGGTGTGTGGAGCTACAGGCACATGTAGCACATGGTGTGTGGAGCTACTGGTACATGTACCACATGGTGTGTGGAGCTACGGGCACATGTAGCACATGGTGTGTGGAGCTACAGGCACATGTAGCACATGGTGTGTGGAGCTACGGGCACATGTAGCACATGGTGTGTGGAACAACTGGTACTTGCAGCACATGGTGTGTGGAGCTGCTGGCCAATATTTTTAGGCTAATGTACGTTTTGAATTCGCAAGTTCTACAAGCATGAAGATATGATGCATCATAGAATGCATGAGTACTTTTCTCTGCAAAAGCAGACTTATTGAGACTTTCCCAGGTGCTGATCTTTGTCAATAAGGCATTTTGTTTTTGATTGCATGATTTACAGATCAGCTGGACCAAAACATCACATATTTTGAATAAAATCAAATTAACAGTCTTTTTCTCTCACAGTCAAATTTTTAACAAGATTATAAACCAAATCTGGGACATAAAGTAACTCGATCCTGGACTAAAAATAATTTCTTTGTTTCCATATTGCATTCCACTGATAATTCTTTTCAGAAATCACACATTTCATAAGTTCTATTTTAACCACCAACCCTGTCTTCTTGAAAAACAAGAACCTGTAAACCAAATAATCCAAATGTAGAGGCCTAAATGAAGTCACAATTCCCAGTCTGTTGCAATCATATGTATATGTCACCAGTTCCTGTGTTCAGGTGTTGAGTATAGACCATTTATAGGTATGGAGTTGTGAGGTGAAATTGGGTTTAACGTCGCGTTTAATGAACGTTGGGTTTAATGAATACCCCACTCAAAAAAGTATACTGACTCCGAGCCGACCAGTCCTTGTTTTAGCCCCTTTATGCCGAATGCCAGACAGGGTAACAACAAGTACCATCTTTTAACATCTTTTGGTATGACGCGGCCAGGGATTATAGGTATGGAAGTCTGATAGGGCCATATGAAAGTATGAAAGTCTGTAGGGGTCTGTGTTTGTAAATATGGAGTATGTATGAGTAAGTATGTGTGAGTATGGAGGTGTGTTAGGGCCATGTGTGAGTATGGAAGTCTGTGTGGCTCATGTGTGAGTATGGAGGTCTGTTAGGCTCATATGTGAGTATGGAGGTCTGTTAGGGCCATGTGTGAGTATGGAGGTCTGTTAGGGCCATGTGTGAGTATGGAAGTCTGTGTGCCTCATGTGTGAGTATGGAGGTCTGTTAGGGCCATGTGTGAGTATGGAGGTCTGTTAGGGCCATGTGTGAGTATGGAAGTCTGTGTGGCTCATGTGTGAGTATGGAGGTCTGTTAGGGCCATGTGTGAGTATGGAGGTCTGTTAGGGCCATGTGTGAGTATGGAAGTCTGTGTGGCTCATGTGTGAGTATGGAGGTCTGTTAGGGCCATGTGTGAGTATGGAGGTCTGTTAGGGCCATGTGTGAGTATGGAAGTCTGTGTGGCTCATGTGTGTATGCACATTTATGTTGGTCATGTTACTGACGTATCTTTTCTGAGCTGTCTGATAATGGAGGCAGATCTGACTGAGGATATATCCTTCGAAGATTCTGTTAATGATTTGTGTTAATGAGTATTGTATCCATCCAGCTCAATAATGTACTGTACATACCCCAATTAGGTAAGATTGCCATTACATTACATTCATTTTTTGCTAGAACATATGGCATGACAGCCATTTTAAATATGTTCTCGGGTTAACCACTGGCTATAGGATAACTACTAGTGACTACGAAGCCATAGTCTTGTCAACAACTATAATAGCTAGGCAGTAGGTATCATAGTCCCAGTACAAACGTCAAACGAAGAATAATGGCCATGGTTGGAAAGTAACTTAGTCCCGAGTGTTTCCATTGCTTGGAGGTCCTGTTTGGTTCCATACACTGAGTTGCCATGCCTTTGTGTGAGACATAGTGCTAGGAGCCGTGGATTAAACAAGTTTGCATAGAAAACTGGCATGTTTACTCATCCATAGGATGCGAAGGATGGAAACTTCCTCAAAATGTAGCCCTCATAACGGACGCCATCAAGAGCTGTGGACTTGGTTGCATGGTATAAGGTCAGACACATTATCTAGCTCTGGCGATAGCTGGCTTATGATGCAACCTTACTTTTGGATAGCAGTTGGGTACTTAAACAACCCAACCACTGATGACGGTTGGTTGTAATACACTCATTGTCTTGTATTTAATAGGCTAGAACCCTTGACAAAACCTAACCTTGATGACAGTTGGTTGTAATACACTCATTGTCTTGTATTTAACAGGCTAGAACCCTTGACACAACCTAACCTTGATGACAGTTGGTTGTAATACAATCATTGCCTTGTATTTAACAGGCTAGAACCCTTGACACAACCTAACCTTGATGACAGTTGGTTGTAATACACTCATTGTCTTGTATTTAACAGGCTAGAACCCTTGACACAACCTAACCTTGATGACAGTTGGTTGTAATACAATCATTGTCTTGTATTTAATAGGCTAGAACCCTTGACACAACCTAACCTTGATGATAGTTGGTTGTAATACAATCATTGTCTTGTATTTAACAGGCTAGAACCCTTGACACAACCTAACCTTGATGACAGTTGGTTGTAATACAATCATTGCCTTGTATTTAACAGGCTAGAACCCTTGACACAACCTAACCTTGATGACAGTTGGTTGTAATACAATCATTGTCTTGTATTTAACAGGCTAGAACCCTTGACACAACCTAACCTTGATGAGAGTTGGTTGTAATACAATCATTGTCTTGTATTTAACAGGCTAGAACCCTTGACACAACCTAACCTTGATGATAGTTGGGCAATGAACACAGCCTTTGGTTGCTTGAACACAGATATGTCCAGTGCCGTATTCCTGTAAGACTGAAAGAAATCTTAGATTGCTGAGATCACATATTTCCAGGTATATCCACAAAAGGAAATGTTGTGTTTCCCTCTCACACATATGAATGACTTCTTTGTGACTTCAAGTTTCTGTTTGGTGACCTTGGTAGCAGTTCCTGAGTTGTATCTCAGCAGAAGGAGGGGTTGGTGTGCTCAATGATGCAGCGCCTGCAGTACTTCTTGACCGTCCTGTAGGCCTGAACGCTGAGGTGGCAGTCCTGGATATTGAGCTGCTGCAGACCCCGACACTGATACGCGATCATCACAATTCCTTGGTCCGTTATCAGGTCACATGACTTGAGACTGAGTTTGCGTAGTTGCGGACACTGTTCTGCAAGCACCTGTAGTCCGTCGTCTGATATATCACACTTCCCAATGTCAAGAGACCGTAACCTGGGGCAGTTAGCTGCCAGGAATGCAACCGCTTCATCGGATACAGCTTCGCATCCGCGGACATTCAGATACCGCAGCTTCAAACAATGTTTTGCTATATAACAAACACCAACATCTGACACTCTATCACACTTTGCAACACTAAGGTATCTTAAATTCTCTCCTAACTTAGAGAGTTCCCGCATACCAAGGTCAGTAACTCTCCGACAGTCACTAACACTGAACTCACGCAAATAGGGACAGTTGCGTGCAATGTGTTGGATACCCTCGTCAGATATGTGGACACATCGTCGTAGGTACAGAAACTGGAGGTGTGTACAGTGAGAGGTGATGATACCAAGGCCCTGGTCCTCCAGGGCGTAACAGTCTGTCATGTCCAGGTATCGAAGGTATATCTGGTGCTGGTGGCGGGCCATGTGTGGGGATGACATCCCATCTGTCAGGCTGATGCAGGTGACCAGAGCACACCCTGAAAGTATGGAACAACACTTTCATAAACAGTCCAGCAAGGTAATTAACCACACACCGCAGGAAACAACGCTTTCATAACAGTCCAGCTATGTTAAAAACCACACCCCCCAGGAAACAACGCTTTCATAAACAGTCCAGCTATGTTATAAACCACACACCCCAGGAAACAACGCTTTCATAAACAGTCCAGCTATGTTATAAACCACACACCCAAGGAAACAATGCTTTCATAAACTGTCCAGCAATGTAATAAACCACACACCCCAGGAAACAACGCTTTCATAAACAGTCCAGCTATGTTATAAACCACACACCCAAGGAAACAATGCTTTCATAAACTGTCCAGCAATGTAATAAACCACACACCCCAGGAAACAACGCTTTCATAAACAGTCCAGCTATGTTATAAACCACACACCCAAGGAAACAATGCTTTCATAAACTGTCCAGCAATGTAATAAACCACACACCCCAGGAAACAACGCTTTCATAAACAGTCCAGCTATGTTATAAACCACACACCCAAGGAAACAATGCTTTCATAAACTGTCCAGCTATGTTATAAACCACACACCCCAGGAAACAACGCTTTCATAAACAGTCCAGCTATGTTATAAACCACACCCCCAAGGAAACAATGCTGTCATAAACTGTCCAGCTATGTTATAAACCACACACCTCAGGAAACAACGCTTTCATAAACAGTCCAGCAATGTTATAAAACACACACCCCAGGAAACAACGCTTTCATAAACTGTCCAGCTATGTTATAAACCACACACCCCAGAAAACAATGCTTTCATAAACTGTCCAGCTATGTTATAAACCACACACCCTAGGAAACAACGCTTTCATAAACAGTCCAGCAATGTTATTTATAAACCACACACCCCAGGAAACAACGCTTTCATAAACTGTCCAGCTATGTTATAAACCACACACCCCAGGAAACAACGCTTTCATAAACTGTCCAGCTATGTTATAAACCACACACCCCAGGAAACAACGCTTTCATAAACAGTCCAGCAATGTTATTACCAGAGTACACCACAGGAAACAACACTGTATAATATATATGCATAAACCAATCTCATAAAGTTTGTATCATGATCCGATGTCACCCAGGTGGAACTAATTTTATTAAGCTCTATACAATACAATACAATCAATCCGTACCTCACTGCTAAAAAAATATTGCAAAACATTTCCAAAAAGAAGTCTGCTGATGTGTGAGTAGTTCTGTAAAGAAAGATGGCTGCAAATCAGTTGGCACTATAGTATATATGTGTCACTTCACTCAGGCATTGTACACGTTGTACCTCTAGGCCATTTCTAAAGTTGCTTTAGTGAATGAAAATATGTATTAAACTTTAATCATTTCCAAGATTAAACTATATGATAAAGAGATCTGTGTCCTTGCGTTTTTCAGTATTGTAATTATGGTACAAGGCTCGTATTTCCATTTTTTATTCCTAATATATTATATTTACAATAGGAAAAGTACACACACCTAATAACAGTGTTTAAAATAACTGCCTGCCCAACAGTCAGATACGGCATATTTTGCTGACGGATGGTCAGTTTTGAAAAGTTGCATGCTTGATGGTCGGGCTCTTATTCTATTCCCTAAATTATCTAAGCATTCTAGTTTTAACTCAATGTAAGAGGTAAATTAACTGTTAACTTAAACACATTATTGATGAATAAAATTTCAATGAGTTAAAGTTAGAAAGTTGATAATCCTCCTGTCTATTGTTATTTCTGAGAACTAGCATTAAACAGCACTATTCTAATGTTTACCCTTTTGTTACTGTTGTTCGTTAGTCTGGAGCATTCTGGACTGGCAACATTTTTTCTGGTCTGGTAACTTTGCAAAGTTGCCAGTCTGGTTGTCTGACTGATATTTTGGGAAATATTATACACTGCTTATAAGCTCTATTTATTACAAAAGTCAATGCAAAGTGAAATGATTTATCAAACCTGAACAAGGTCGTGACACTTTGCTCAGCATAAACATTTTGTTTATAATTTGTGCTAAGAACCTATGAGCAGGTAGACACAGGATACATGTTAGACGTGATGAACTTAGCAGAGGGTGTACATCACATTTAGGTCTCCAGATCATAACTCGGAAAATGTTCAAGATATCTTTATGACAATGTTGACATGTACTTGCCTGTTTTCAAGGGGTCCCTTTCTGTTAGAAATTTTTAAGATTCAGAAACAAGTTTAAATTTTATTCTCAGGATTGCGTTCATTTCTTCAACACATACCCAACCATACCCTTCAAGCAAATTATTGACCTCCTCAGCTCACACTTAAGAACATAATATGCTTGTTTCATTGTTTGTTTGTTGCTTAACACCGCACTCAGCAATATTCCAGCTATATGATGGCGGTCTGTAAATAATCGAGTCTGGACCAAACAATCCAGTGATTGAAATCATGTGCATCGATCCACACAATTGGGATACCAACCAAATTGTACATACTGCCATGGAAACAGTAACACAAAACAACACGGTAGTGAAAGGGAATATTTGATCACTCCCCCCAAAAACAGTTGAACAGTTATTTTTATTAAATATTCCTGATAAATCAGCTAAGTGCATGGTAAAGTGGTGTTGTTTGATTTGAATTGTTTTCCCTTGCCCTGGCTATATGTTACCATGGAAACAAGATCAAACCATGCTGATAGAAACATGAACCAATCTAACATAAAACAGGAAGAACTTGAGAATTTAGTGTTTGTATATTTACTTAACACAGTAAACCTAGCCTCTGGAGGGGGTGTCTCTATACTTGATGATTTCAAGGACAGGACAAGGTCAGCCTAGATCCCAAGCAAGATAGAATCCTTAGCAGTATCTATTTCTGTTTCCTAGATAACAAGGCAGCTTCGATCAGTGATTTATTCATGCCTTTACCCACCCCCAGCTGGAACAGGTTTCACTCATGGGTAAGACGAAGAACAGTCGCTCATTAAAAGTTAAAACTTATCCATAAAGAATCATGAGTCTTAGGACAGGATTAATAATTTATCAGAATTCCGTTCCCACCTGCCTCACTACCAAACACCCCATGTCACACCATTTTATTGTCCCTAGGAATCTACAGATGAAAACAATCACTATGCAAGTTCCCTTCTTTGATTGCTTCTTTTAATAGTTCAATATTAAAACAGGTTCAAAGAAAATACTTTAGAGACTGAGGACATAAAAGCAAAGGTCTAAGTATAAATTAACATGTGGTGGTCTTGTTTTATGTGTATTGAATGACGTTTATGACAGTCCAGATTAAAATTGTTTCAATGCAGTTTTTAAACAGCATGGTGTTTTCTAATAATTAAATTTTCAAGTCAGTCATATCTCTTATTCATGTAAAAAAATCAAAGAAGCTCTCAACTCTCTCTATTCTTGTTTGTGAAAAGTCCCTACTTAGTACCCGTAGTTGACAACCTCCCATGGTCAAGTTTCTAGTTGTCATACTTATTTATGGTGTGATAGGCAAGGCTGTCCATGAAGTCCTTGGCATGTCAGAAACCTGTAAATGCTGGTTCGAATTCCAGATTTTCTCTGATTATGTTTCTAGGTCTGTCAGCTCAACCATACCTGTGTTAGTGGATTTCACCAAAGTGAAAACTCTCATTTCACAGAGCATAGGTGATTTGAAATGTGTACAACTACCACATGGACACATTTGCTCCAGTAAACTTCTCATCAGTCCCGTGGGGGCATGGTCAGAAGAAACATTTAACAAAACATTTGACACATTAATTTAAACCCTGCCTTCAAGTTTGAAATGTGGTAGCAATGTGTAAATATTTCTGTTTGGGTTACCTGTCACATCAAGGTGTTCCAGGTTGACGCAGTTGGACACTACTTCAAACAGGGCCACATTGGTGATGTTTGAGCAGCCTTGCAGCTCAAGGTATCGCAGCTCGGGGCAGCGTCTCGCAATAGTATGAAGTCCCTTATCCGTTAACTGCTCACAGCCATTAAGAATGATCCGTTCCAGAATCACACAGACCTTGGGTGTATTGTAACTGAGACGCCTTGTGAGATATTTTAAAGCTTTATCAATATTAATGGTTTCATTGTTTATGACTATACTTGTCCATAGGAGTGGGTATTCCCAGATCAGTCTGTACCAGCGCTTACAGACGCGCGTGACGCGACACACATGGTCTGTTGGAAGGTTGAGAAGAATCCGGAGCATGATGTCGTCTGTCAGGAGCTCGAACGGTGCTGGGCGGACATATTTCCCTTTTGTTGATGTAGAGGAAAGTAATCTACTCGTGTCTTTTAGTTCCACTTGTTTCATACTGGACATCACCGACTCCATGGATTCAATCATCCGTGGATCAAACACAGAGTTCTTGTAGCACGACCTTGACTGGCGCATGTGCATTTGGACGTAATTATTCGAAGTCTTGGCCTCTCCGGGAAGACGAGCCCAGGTCACACTCTTTGTGCCAGAATCCTGAGAGGAGCTGGACTCGCCCTTGAAAGTCGTCATCGTTGTGGGCGGGTAGTTGTAGCTCGCAACGTCTGACGCAATCCCTGAACTGGAGTCATGAACAGAATCTGGCGGCTGGACTTGGTCTGAAACACACAGAAACATCATCACTTAGGAGATATACCTAATGTGTTTTCAAATAAGTTTAAAAATGCAATTTGATACCTGTAAATTTCACACTAAACATGCTAAACCAACAACATTTGATACCTTGGGCAGACCAATCAGAATGCAGTATTGTAAAGTGTCATGGTAGATTATGGCTCAATATTCACCATGTCCTGTGTATTAATCTAATGAACTTTAAACACCCTTGAGAGGTAATCCTTAGTTTACACGTATATACCAGCATCATAAATGTTCAGTGTGGTAACTATATGGACAGAATCAAAGAGATCGACAACTCCATGGAACACATGCAACTTCTGAAACTTCCATTTCTACCAGTTACCTCATGACAAGGACCCCTGCTTTCAGTCTTAAGCTGGGACTCTGATCACACATACTCGATACATTGCCATCTCCAAAGCTTGAGTAATGCAGAAATAAATAATTCAGGTATGAAATGAAATGAAACTAATGACTGAAAACAGTCTATCTCATTAAAGACCACAAGTTATCATGGTCATGATCATGATTAACTTTCTTTAAAAAAAATCACTTTATCACTGGATATAGTATAATTAAAAAATCACTTTATCACTGGATATAGCACAATTAAAAATCACTTTATCACTGGATAAAGTACAATTAAAAATCACTTTATCACTGGATATAGTACAATTAAAAATCATTTTATCACTGGATAGAGCACAATTAAAAAAATGACTTTATCACTGGATGTAGTACAATTAAAAATGACTTTATCACTGGATATAGTACAATTAAAAATCACTTTATCACTGGATATAGTACAATTAAAAAATCACTTTATCACTGGATATAGTACAATTAAAAAATCACTTTATCACTGGATATAGTACAATCAAAAAATGACTTTATCACTGGATATAGTACAATTAAAAAAATCCTGTTCCAGAAAATACTTTGATTAAACATTGCATGTACTGAAGCAATGGCAGAACACATAATCTGTCTCTAACCAAAAAACAAATCCCCCTCCTCCACAAACAGTTTTTTCAGAGTGATCCATATCCCACTTGTGATCCGTTATTTCAAGCCCTGACATCACGTATGTTTGACTCTATTGGTTGCCATGTACGTCAGCTTCTATAAACAGAGAGTAAGCACACCATATCCACTATTCGGATGACATAAGCTGCAGTGGCCACAGACACTGTCCGTCACGGAAGAGTAGCGGCTCCAGGGGAGCGGGGATAATGACCCACCTGAGAGAACCAGATGACTCGGGGGGCTCTGTTTGCACACAGGAGTTAATGCTACACACATAAAGGTGGGATGCACAGGCGAGGCCAGTAATTGAAGCGATCTTTAAGATGGTTTCAACTCCTCACCACAATCTTGAAAAGGATAAGTTAAACAGTCCATAGGAGAGCTGAAGTATTTTATTAATAGTTCGGAACACTAACAATATATATTAGCTGACGCACACATGATAGGGAAGGGTTTAACTTTCTGTAGGATGGCCGAGGTATTTTATTATTACCGGTTGGGACGCTAAGGAATTTGAAGGCTTAAACAATGCATTGACGCATTGGTTCCCCAAGATATCATATGAGAAGGCACTACCAGAATACACAACACATTTAGTACTGATTAGTTTGTTTCACAAACTACTTTCACTTCTATATCATATGATGATGTGTTGTATGAAGCAAATATTGTCTGATTATGAGTGAGTGTGGTTTTAGATACATTCCAGGATATCCTAGAGTACAAAATATCTGTGACACATATCTGATGGCAAGATATATGCTAGTGACAGTTTGGGGGTAAGTGGCACCAAGACATCTGTGAAAAAGTTCTTGGGTATGTTGCACCAAGATATCCGTGAAACACTTTTTGGGTAAGTGGCACCAAAATATCTGTTACAGAGTTATGGGGGAATGGTACCAAGATATCGTTGTGAGATTTGCTGTGCGAGTGGCACCAAAGCATCAGTTCTTGGATGAGATATTCTAGTCCTTCATGGTAAGTATGTCTTATGAATAGTGTATGTGTCTGCCATATGGCCTATTGTATGAAGAAACATAACATTGCTACATTCTTGACTGCTAGTGTCACACCTTAACTTTGTCAAAAAAGTGCTTGTTTTTCGTGTGTTTGTCGTCTTCAGAGATTGTGGATTACTACTCCCGTAAACAAATATTGAAGGTTGTCAGTTGAGACGGCAGGATCGACAAAAACAAGCTGGGGCATGAGGTGTGGTAGTTGATGTCACGTGCAGTAGGTACTCCCTGTCAAACACGAAACTGGCCCAGCACAGAACACAAGTTTACTTGTGTTGCTCTCTTATTCAACTTGAAGAGTCTACTCCATAAATTTGATCTTACCAGTTTTTGTTATGCATCTTTCAATTGCCAGCTTTAAGCAATATTTACCAAAAACTAAAAGCTACAACAAGATTTGGTTTAACACATTGTACCCATTTGAGAGTGAGTGAGTATGGTTTTACGCCACTGTTAGCAATATTCCAGCAATATCATGTCGGGGAACACCAGAAATGGGCTTCACACATTGTACTTATGTCGGGAATCGAACCTGGGTCTTTGGCGTGATGCGCGAACACTTTAACCACTAGGCTCCCCGATCGCCCAGATGAGAATTGAAACTGTGTGTATTCAGAATTATGAGGGAATGCCATGACTAATAGGCTACCCCATTGCCATTTTAATACTGAATAGAAAACAAAAAATATTGATACATTATTACACATAGGCCTTTCACTATATTACTGACAGTACATTATTGCCTCCAATATGCCACCTCTGTACTATAACTGCTGTTTGACTGAAGGTGTTATAACCCTTGTATTCACCCTTTATTCGTGTACTGATATTACTGACAGTGTCATTCAGTCACGTTATACTACTTGTATACCACTTGTACTGAGGGTGCCATAACCCTATTAAACCACTTACCCATTGCACTGAAGGTGTCATTATATGACTGTCATACCTCAGTTGTGAGTTAACAGTACACAACACATATACACTGGGAATCTCACTTATCTATTTATATAAAAAATATCAACACAATTTGATAAGACCCTTAAGATAATTGGCAAGTTGAACAATGATTTTGCTAGGTGAAAATGCTATGATATACATACTTCAAGAGAGCACTTCCATATAAAACCCATTTGTAAAAGTCAAAAATGGTACTGGTAATTTATTAGAGGGAGTGTAGGGCCGGTGGGAATGGTCTGAGGTCAGTATAATATTGTAATATGCAGTCAAGCACACTGACCTATTGTAACATACTGTCAAGCAGATTGACCTATTGTAACATACTGTCAAGCAGATTGACCTATTGCAACATACTGTCAAGCACACTGACCTATTGAAACAGACTGTCAAGCACATTGACCTATTGTAACATACTGTCAAGCAGATTGACCTATTGTAACATACTGTCAAGCACACTGGCCTATTGTAACATTCTGTCAAGCAGATTGACCTATTGTTACATACTGTCAAGCAGATTGACCTATTGCAACATACTGTCAAGCACACTGACCTATTGAAACAGACTGTCAAGAACACTGGCCTATTGTAACATTCTGTCAAGCACAGTGGCCTATTTTATGTAAATGATTGTGGGGTTAACATGTTACTATGTATTCCGCTGAAATAGGAAAAATAGTGATTTTAGAAAACAGTTTTCTACTTTTCCTCATATTGGTCGGTGGCATTCATAAATAATTTCTTGTTCAAAAGACTCAGAATAAAGTTCAGGACAGCAACTTGTGTACATGTTTTTTTCCACACTAACATGTAATTATGCTCTGGAATGGAGGCAATGCAATACTTGAGGTCAAAAAGTATTTAAACATATACAGAAACATTACAATAAATTAATTCAGGAAATTACATTGCAAAGAGGCCAATGCATATGTCTAGAATTGTCTTGCATGAAATAACAACATTATTAACACTCGTTCCAAATAGAACAAGACAGTTAAACCCAGACCTTTTTACTTTTAAAATTAAGGGAGTGTCTTGGATGAAACAAGATAAATGGTCTACCCTTAACATTTCAATGAAAAGGGGTGTCATGTGTCTTGTAGTCATAGATTTTCTCATAATAGAAGTGAACATTTGAAACTCATGCCCATACACTGATGGTTGTGACAATCAAACTGTTGATGACCTGGAAACAATTACAGGGAATATGACACGTTTTTCCAGCCCACACCTGGACGTGAATGCATAGAGGATTACATGGGGCAGACTGCTTCAAGCTTTCTGCAACATTCTCCCTTCTATAATATCAGGGAGTAGGACTTATTGTTCCCAGTCTGAAGACGATCCCACATAATATACTACTCAACTTTTGATAGGAAAAACTGTCTGGTTATTTACAGACAAACATATCCCTATCAAAAGAATAGAGTTATATAGGATTACATGAGGCAGACTGCTTCAAGATCTCTGCATTATTCTCCCTCCTACAATACCAGGGACGTGGACTCATTGTTCCCAGCAAATGACTGAATACGATCCCACGTATAGGATTACATGGTGCGGACTGCTCACACTGCATGCTCTCCCTGCACTGCCACCTACACATACATCTCTTGATTTTAGAAAAGACAATACTACCAAACTGGAGTTAAAGCCCCAGTGTTACAATGTGTCCATGTTCTGGCATGGAAAGCACCGAACTACACAATGGTAATGAGACATAATAGACATTCAAGAAACATAACAGCATTGGTGGTTTCATAAATAATACTATGAGCAGTAATAATGTAATCAGGGTTAGAACTTAACACTAGCCCGCTAACCCAGGGCTAGTACAAATTCCTCTGGGCGAGAAAAAAATTTCCACATTTTTTAACATGTTTTATAAGGGCATTTATCTTTACCCCTGCAAGTAATGCTTTTGAGTTTATTCCTAACCCTGATAATGACTCATTCACTGTTCAGGGGCGGTCGGGTAG